TTCATTAAGGCAGCTGAGCTTCCCCTGCCTTTTTTATCTTGCAAAGTGAGGCAAGCAGGGGAGGGAAGAAAAGAAATAAGCCAAGAAGCCCTCCCTGCAGTGACAGGCAGGGAAATTGGTTTGCCTTTTCTGCTGCACACAAAAGCGGAATGTCCCGCAGATCCCGCCGCCTGAGAAAATGAGTCCCCACAGCCCCAGAGAACAGCCTCCGGTGGCCAGAGGGAGGGGCCGGGGACTGGAGACCGGTGCTGGGTGGAAAAGGCGAAGGGATGAAGAACTACACATCGGTGGCTGCACAATAGTCAAGTACAGCGGAGGGAATATAGGCAATAATATTGTAATAATGTATGGTGCCGGGTGGGTACTAGAATGTTGGGTGGGATCACTTTGTCAGGTATCTGGTTGTCTGACCATGATGCTGTACACCTGAAGCGAATACACAATCATAGTGAATGTCAACTGTAATTGAAAAGATAAACACCAATTTTTTAAGTGACCTTATAAGCTGTTTCCTGACAAAGCCATAAGCCGTTCAGAGAGAAAGGTGAACCCCATAGGTGTGAGGTCCACAAGGGTAGGGGCTCCCCTTCCTGCCTGCCTTCTCTTTCCTCATCAAGATCCTTCTCCCTCACAGAGCAGCCCATCTCCTCCAGCAACAGTCACCCAGGCCTGCCCCCCGCCCCACCCCCTTCTCCTTCCACCCGGGCGCTCAGTAGATGCCATCCCTTGGCCCCGGCTCTCACCCCTGCAGACCCCTCTGAGCCCAGCCTGTCCTTCGTAAGGGTAAGGCCTCATATCAGAGGGGTGGGGCTTCTGCACATTCCCTTTGTGGTCAAAATGGTGATAGTCACACTAATAGCCATCACGTATTGATCACTCTCTGTTTACACGTCACAGTGCTCAGTATTTGAGGAGCACGGTTTCATCTGAGCCTCACGACGTTAGACCCTGCGTGTGATCACCATCACCACTTTACAAATGAGGAAAGCGAGTCTTAAAATGGGATTCCTCGAGCCAGCCAGTTCCTACAGTCAGCGGGCAGGCAGGGCCCTGCCGGCAGCCTGGGAACCGGCCGCCAGATGCAGGGCCTTTGCAAGATTCTGATGGAGAAGTCAAGCCAAATTATTTAGGCTCATTCTGTAGACAATTAAGGGCTGCTTAGTGGCCGTCGTGTAATTGCATCATTTAAGGGGAACTACCATTTGGTTGTCATAAACGAAAATGAGCTCATGGCTAGAGTTTATTGCATAGGCTGATCCAATATTTCACTGAGATGTAGGTGGCTTGGCGAGGCTGTATCGGTTCCACGGTCGCCAGGCATGGGCAGAGCTTGAAGACCCATAGTTTTCACAACTCTTAGGGATGTCTCAGGTGTCACTGCCTTTGTCTTGAATTTACAGTCAAGCCTATTGCTGTTTACTTGCTCTGAAGTGATATTTCAGCTCTTACTGATATTTCAGCTTTACTACTTGTTATATTATTGGTTGTGGGCTCGCCTCTAAACCCTATAGAGAGTGATGAGGTATGTTGACATATTTTTCACCTGTTATTCTTCAAGAACTACACTGAAATGTCCTAAATTGCCTGTATTCAACCATTTTTTACCTTAGGTTAAACCATATGAAACTGACTCCAGTCAACCATTTTTGACCTACAAAAAAATGACAGTTTTATGTGGTTCAAACTAATAGCTCAAATATAAATTCTTACCTCATTTGCTAGAAATTGTGTGTATAATACCCTCCAAATATGTAGGTATTGTACCACTTCACAGAACCTATGAACTGGTGTTGTAAGTAATTTGTAACATATCCTATATAATAAAGAGGTAATATGCAAATTGACCATCATGCCCTCACAAAGATGGCTACCTACAACCAGGCCAGCAGAAGGGTTAGTGAGGGATGACCAAATGACTGAATAGCAAACTGTGTGGGGAGACCAGGCTAGCAGGGGAGCTATGAGGGGTGACCAGGCTGGCATGGGAGGCAATTGGGGGTGACCAGGCCAGCAGGGGAAACAGTAAGAGGTGACCAGCCAATGGGGGGGGGGGGCAGTTAGAGGCGACCAGGCCAGTGGGGAGGGGAGGAGGGGAGGGAAGGAGGGCGCAGTTGGGTGTGATTAGGCCAGCAGGCAGAGGCAGTAAGGGGTGATTAGGCCAGCAGGGGTGGGGGCAGTTAGGATAAGGTGACCAAACATTCTGCTTTTGGCGGGACAGTCCCGATTTTTAACAATTTGTCCCGCGTCCCGCAGCATTTTAAAATCGGGACTATTTTAAAACACCACGGGACTCGGAACAAATTGTTAAAAATTGGGACTGTCCTGCCAAAAGCGGGATGTCTGGTCACCTTAAGTTAGGAGCAATCAGGCAGATAGGCAGGCAGGTGGGTGATTAGGAACCAGCAGTCCAGGGTTGTGATGGGGATGTCCGACTGCCATTTTAGGACAGTTTAGGGGGATCGAGCCTAAAACGGCAGTCAGACATCCCCCAAGGGATCCCAGATTGAAGAAGGTGCAGCCTGGGCTGAGGACCTCCCTCCTTGCACATTCATGCACTGGGCCTTTACTTATTATCATAAGCCACTATAAGGAAATTGCTATTATTTTAAGTTTGCAGCTATATTTCTCTCCATGCTTCAAAATCACCTGATTCCTTTGTCACTGTGAAGTGGGAATGGATAGGGAATTTTGTGTTCCCTAGACAGACGCTGGTCAAAAAAACATGACAAGCACAGCTCTCAAGGTGAGGGAAGTTTTCCAAGCCCCACAACTAGTAAGTGTGGACTCAGGATTCAGATGGAAGTCAGCTTGCCTCGCTGACTGAGGAAATGATGCATATTTTCGTTAACGACGGCAGTTACACCTCTGTAGCCTCCTGAACAAACAAACAAACGAAAACCAAAGAACCCAGGCTTCATGATATCTCTGTGGGGAAATTAGGTTACCACCATTTATTGAGTGCCAGTCACTCTGCTTGGTATGTTAGGTAAGCCTCATTGAATGCCACCACAAGCCTTGGGAGGTTGGTGTCATCAATCCGTCCCTGGTGGGAAACAAGTTCACAGGCTTGAGACTAACTCAGTGTGGCAGAACAGGTACTGAGCACAGGAAGCAAACTTCAAAACCCATGTGAATGCTCACCACCTGCTTTTTCTTGTTCCTCTCCCCTCCTCATCCCCCTATTTATTTTACCATCAAATCCTATTGGTCCTACCTATAAAATGCCCCCCAGAACCTGCTTCTGCACCATTTTCCCTGTGAACCTTTGAACACTGTCTCTCCCATGGACAAACGCAGCAGCCTCCTGAACTCCACCCTCTCTCCATCCCTACCCACCCCCCACATGGCCTCCAACTTGCTCCACAACTCTGTGCATAGATCTGATCACAACCCACCTCTTCCATGGCCTTGTGGTGCTGGCGAGGTAGAAGGCATTTCCCAGTCCAGCCTTTCAGCTGTGGGGAGAGACTACCGTTCCATGCCTCAACCACAGTGGGTCCCGCAAGCTGGGTCCGGGCCAGAAAGGACGTTGCTTCCCACAGACCTCCCTTAGAGACTCTGGTCGCAAATGATGTTCACTCTGATACACACCAGCACCGCTCCACTGCCTCCTGCTGTGTGCTGGCTCCCGGCACAGGTTGTTGTCCTGACCTGGCCGAGCATGTATTTTCCTGTACCTGGTAGAAACCTCATGTAGTCCCTGTGACTGTCCCCCTGTATCCCACATTCTTCTCTGGTGTCTGCCAAGTGGCACAAGGGTCTGTTTGGTCTTGCCGCCACCCAACACATGCCTCCTGTAAATTTCCCTTTAAGAAGTCTATTCGTCAAAACCGGTTTGGCTCGGTGGATGGACCATCGGCCTGCGGACTGGAAGGTCCCAGGTTCGATTCCGGTCAAGGGCATGTACCTTGGTTGCGGACACATCCCCAGTAGCGGGTGTGCAGGAGGCCGCTGATCGATGTTTCTCTCTCATTGATGTTTCTAACTCTCTATCCCTCTCTCTTCCTCTCTGTAAAAAAGTCAGTAAAATATATATATATATATTTAAAAAAAAAAAAAAGGAAGTCTATTCATTACTATTATAGATGAGTAGCCAGCCTCTTTCTTCTGTCGTTCCCTCCTCTCTCCTTACAGATGTGGATTTTCATATCCAGAAACTCTCCCTGGTCTGTGTGTGCTAACACCCACCTACCTTCCATCTCGGCCAACACTCCCTGTCCCCAGCCCCCACCCCAGCGACCCCTCCTGCCCTTCTCATTTCCTCTAACACCCATGACCTTTCCAACCCAACTCCTGAGCTTCCTTGCACTTGCTACTGAGGGCACCTGGAGGGACTATCTTTTTATATTTTTTTATTTTTATTTTTTTACTACCTACCATTTTCCACCTGGCAAATTCTCCAAGGCCCAATTCAAAGGGCACTGCCTGTGGGAGAGCCAATCCAGACTCTCCCTGGCAGCTCGAAGCTCCTCTGTGTTCACAGGACTTTGCACACATTTTTAATTAGACAGTTTCTGTTGAATGATAGAATGTTGAATGTTGTTGTTGAAATGTCTAATCTATCTCTCCCACTTGGTAATGAGCGCCTGGAGGATAAAGATCATGTTGTATTTTCTTTGGATTGCCAGCACTCAGAAAGCGCTTGGCACAAGGTCAGGACTCAATAAATATTCATTAATGTGCAAATACCCCTGTAGTCTCTGGTGCACATAGAGCATACTGAGAAGCTGCTCGGTACAACGGATTGAAACGGAATCGAGAGGAAGGATGACTGACTCAAGTCTGGGCTCGTCTACCAGCTGGCTGTGTCACCAGGGACAGCACTGATCTGGGACTCAGTCCCTTCACTTGTAAGGGGGGGAGGAGAGAGGGGGGACATCTGAGTGTCCTTCCAGGGCTCACGTAGGATGATGTGAAGTACTTGACAGCTCATCTCTAAAACTACCTTTTTTTTTTTCTCACCCAAAGAAAAAGACGTTGGAGGTCTTCGGAGGAGAGTCATGGCACACATTCGGGAGCCTGTATCCCATACGCCTGTCATCAAATTCAAGGGCCAGGACTTTAAGACCCTGAGGGACCATTGCCTAAGCAGAGGCCTCCTGTTTGAGGATGAGACCTTCCCTGCCGATATTTCTTCCATAGGCCTGCGGCTGCTCCAGGGAAAACACCTCTCCAGCCTGCGGTGGGAGCGCCCACAGGTGAGTGAGCCCCCCAGGCACACACCCAGCTCCTGGGCCCTCTGAGCCAGCCCGCCATGGTCCCTCCCATGGCCCCTCTGGACCTCTGAGTTCTAATCCAGCTCTAACACCGAGAGGACCTGCCTCGGTATTCTCACCTGGAAAATGAGGAGATATAGGTGTGAAGAGTGTCTCTGAGGTCTCTTCCGTCTCCATAGTTGAGCCTGTCATCACTCTTTATTCTCTTCCGGTATGACTGTCTTTATCTTCTGTTCCCTTTTTTTTTTTTTAGAATTTACTCAGAGGGAAGCTACCATGTCAGTCAACTGTATAATAGGATGAATTTAAATAATTGACTCGCCTCTCTCCCTTTTATTTGTATCTCCAGCCTTGCAAAGAGGCCCGATCACCTACAAAAGAATTTCAGACATCCGCTGGGAAATTAGGAAGCAATTTCAGGGCAACACTCCAAGTCCCCTGAACCCCCATTCCAGCAGATGGCCACTCACTCCACCTTGCAGCAAGGGGAGCCCTGCTGGTTTTTCCAGAACCATCTCAGTTTCGTGGCATGAGGCTCCAGAGGACATTGCTCAGCCAACTTAACGTTCTCATAATCTCATCAGGGCCACTGTTGATGACAAAGACCCAGGTAAGGGTCACTGTCAGTGCCCTGGTGCTCAAAGCTTCTGTTCGTGCTTCTAAGAGCAACCAGCGGGACCTAAAACAAGAGAAAATGCCATAGTGTCTAGTAAGCTAACAATTATAACATCAGCAAGTATTACTGAGCACATATTAAGCATCATGTACTCTACCGAGCCCTTTCAGTAGAGTCACGTTAAAGGCGTTTTCTGGTGACACAGAACAAGACACAGAGCTCTGGGGGTGCCAACTCAGGACAGACTTGAAGCCTTGGGGAAGGGGGAGGTTAGTGGGGATCAGATGGGGCTTGGATGTGCTTAAAGAAAGACGGGGTGCTCCAGCCTTCTAGGACCCATCTTCCCAGCCAGCGGCGACAAGTCCAACCATGCCTCCCTCCCTCAGGCCTTCCCCTCCTGAGGAGGGCTGACCAGAGAACGCTGTTTAACGTTTGGAAGGGTTAAATATTGTTTTGTCGGGGTTCATTTTGAATGGGTTTTCTTTTCCTTTTTTTCATAGGGTGCTGGGCAATAGATGTGAGACCACATCCATAGTGTTTAAGAATTGATAACATCCATTTAGAAAGTGTTAATTCCAGAAGCATCTCAACTTGTCATGTCTTTGGGGGCCAAGGAGAAACATAGGCAAACAAAAGTGAAACGCCTTACACAGAGTCATGTCAGGGGACACAGACAATCGCATGGCAAAGGCCTGGGGTGGGCATGGAGGCTGGTTAGAGGGGTGAGTGGGGGGTGAAGGGGACATATGGAATACTTTCAACAATAAAGATTAAAAAAAAAAAAAGAAAAAGAATCGTTTCAGGAACCTGGGATAGAGGCACCAGGGCCACATGCAGTGTATTCCCATTCCTCTTCGACCAGGGGCTCCTTTTTCCTTTTTTCTTTTTCATTCCAGCACTTCTTTTAAAGTGTATACGTGAATATGTCATATATCTTTGTGTTTCTTATCGCAACTGGCAGTATAGTACTTCCTAGAGCTGTCCATGTGTCTTACTTTGTCTCCTTTGTTCTTCTTTATTTCATGCATAATAATTTTAAAAATCCCATTTATCAAGTTTGTACATGCGCCAGGTGTTAATCTAAGCACTCTACCCATCACATTGTGTTTCATCGCCACGGCAGTCCCGTGAGGTTGATAACATTGTCACCCTCATTCGGTAGGTCGGCACTGCCCAATAGAACATTCCGTGAGGATGGGAAGGTTCGTTATGTGTCGTTCATTACAGCAGCCACTGGTCACATGTGGCTATTGAGCACTTGGAATGTGGGTTGTGTGACTGAGGTTCTGAAGTTTTCATTTTATTCTGTTTAAATGAACTTAATTTAATGTACCTTATTGGAGAGCACAGCAGTCACCAGTGTACGTCAGGTGGAGGGATTAAAATGTCCCCATTGTCCCCATTCTTTAGTGAAAAACTTTCCACTTCTCAACTGAAGGATGGGCTATGGGCCCAAACCACATTGTGTGCTGGGCGCTCCAAACGCAGCACCCAGCCCCACTGTGGATTCTGGCCCGTGGCCATCCCAGAGTGCAGCACTGCCTGCCCAGGCAACAACTTTCTCCTTCCCAGGGGCCAGAGCTCCTGAAAGGATCCTTCCCTAAGAGTGATTCACCTTGGGACCAAAATGAGTTCTTCGATAAAGGAAAGGGTTAACAAAGTGGAGACATGAGTGTTAAGTTGTAAAAGCAACAAGTAACAGAAGGTGAGAGAAAGTGAACGTGCCAACAGCCAGTTGCCATGGAGCGGAAGAACTTTGATGCCAATAAAGCCGATCTTCTTGGCAAAAATAGAGGAGGAAGTGATGCTGCCACCTGGCCCAGCCTGAACTCTGGGCCACCCTCTGAAAGAGCCTGTCTAAATGCCCGTATGCTCAGCCTGGCGCTCCCTCCGTCAAGCACTGTCTGGGGACATGCCTGAGCAGTCTTTGAAAAGAATGCAGGAGTCACGGTCACAAATAGACCCAGTGACGTCACACTGGAAGAGACCCCTTCCACTCAAGAGAGGGGGTTTTCTAAAACTCCAGGGAATTTTGCGTTAGGTGAGTTTCTGGCCTACCTAATGTCACAGGGGCTGCCCCAGACTTTGCACTGAGAAAGAGCTCCGCAGTTCAGAACTAATGTGTATCCTATAGCATATAGCTAATAGGAAATATATCCCTAGTCCCTATTGGTAGATGTACTCTGAGAAATTGGCTCACGTGGTCACGGAGGCAGAGAAGTCCCACCCTCTGCCATCTGCCAGCTGGAGACCCAGCAAAGCCAGTGCCATAGTTCAGTCTGTGAGGGAAGGCCTGAGAACCAGGCAGCAGATGGTGTAATTCCCGGTCCAGGGGCAGGAGAACAGCCATGTGCCAGCTCAGCAGCCAGCCAGAGAAAGGCACCTTCTCCCTTCCTCTGCCTTTTGTTTTACTTTCTCGGGATGGGGTGAGGTTTATCCACACTGGGGAGGGCATTTGCTTTCCCGAGTCCATTGACTCACATGCTGATGTCATCTGGAAACACTCTGACAGATCCACCTAGAAATGGTGTTAGCCGAGGACCTGTGACCCAGTCAAGTTGACAAAGAAAATCAACCATGGCAGTTTTCTTCTGCACAAATGGGTGTTTCCGTGTCCTCGAAAGGCCAGACTGTCTCACAGAATCAGGAAAGACCAAAGTCAAGAAGCCCCTACCTGCTGGTGTGGTCCGTGGGGAAGAGCTGTGCACCGTGGAGGCAGGTTGCCCCACCCCAGCTGCTTCCTGTGGGCCCTGGAACAAATCTCTGCTTCTCTGCATCTGCTCACTCGGCCTGGTGGGACTCTCCTGAGGAGCTGTCAATCCTGGGATCTGCTTCCTGAGTCCAAGCTGTAGGAGGTGGGACCCAGCGGTCTCCATGCCCTCAAAGTCCATGGTGATGGAGTCACGCGTGGGGTGGATACTCTGATCCTTGCCAGAGACTGCACTGTGTTGGTGTTTCCGGCCCAGCTGGAGATAGAGGGGTTGCCCGGAGCCAGCGCCTTACCATCTTCCCAGCCATCTTCCTACCCATTTTCTCTGGGGGCCTTGTCCCAGGAGGTCAGCCCGGCAGATGAAAACATTTCTTAGTCTACTTCCAGCTCTTTCTACCTTTGAGACTCTCTAGCACCCCTGGAAGCCCAGGGAGGGGAAGGAATAGGCAGCTCAGAGGTCAGGGAACTTAGATGCTGGTTTTGTGCCCAAAGGAGATTGATGTTGACTATGGGCTTTTTATTGGAAATAATTGCCATTTGATTTTATAACATTAAAATACCTTTCTGTTCTTAATTAGCTAAAATGTTTGTGGTTTTTTTGTGTTTATTTTTATTACTTGGGCAAATGAGAGAAACTTGTGCATTTATCAAATGCCTTCTGGGAAGGATATAAATTGCCTCTTCTTTGGCCCATTTAAATATTTTTTCCATTAGATATCCACCCTGGCAGATTTCTATGGAAAACCCTACTGAGGGTGGATCAGTCTTGTCATTTATGGTAGATTCTTTGGCTGAGTATTTTATTTCACGTGTTTCCATGAGTATAATCAGCCTGGTGTGTATGTGCTTCTGGGTGTTTTTTTGTTGTTGGTGGTTTTTTTTGTTTGTGTGTGTGTGTGTGTGTGTGTGTGTGTGTGTGTGTGTTGTTTGTTTTTCTCTTGGGTTGGGCCTGCAGGCTATGCTGGCTTCTTAGAATTAAATGGTGGCAGGATTCTTCTTCCTCCTTTTCTTTTTTTTAAACAATGAAACTGTACGTGACACTGGAATTGTCTAGTCCCTGGAAGTTTGAGACAACTCAGCAGGAGAATCACGGGTACTTACATGGTAGGGAGGTGTTCTGGGGCAGTGATCGGCAAACTGTCGCTCGAGAGCCGCATCCATGGTTTGCTGTTCTGTTGACTAACGAGTTTGCCAGCTACTGTTCTAGGGTCATTTAAAAATACTATTCCAAGTTTATTGATCTTTTCGGCTTATATACTAACTTGAATGATTTGGGGCAATGTTCATTTTCATCAGAAAATCATTAGTACTTTTAAATGAATTAGCATAGAATCTTCATGTTTTATATTGCTAAAACCCAATTTTCACTACTTTTATTTAGGTTTCTCTACCACATTTGCCAAAGGTTAGATCTATGTAAGCCTTCTTGCCCAAAAAGAACAGTTTACTTGCACTATTGATTTTTCTGTTTTATAAATTCACTAATTGTGCTCTTCAATCACTTCTTTCCGCCTATATTTGCCAGGCTCTCTTTGTCTTTTTCTTTCTCACATCTGTGAGTCGACTACTTAAATCATGTTTTTATTCTATGTTGTTTAATAATGAATGGATTTGAGGCGCTGGGTTTGTCTATGAATATGGCTTTTCAATTTTTGCAAATACTGCAGATGGAGGGAATCGATATTTATTGAACTTACGCCCTGCCAGGCGCTGCGCTAAGTATTTTGCTTCCTTCCTGCTGCGTAAAAGGGAAGGGCGCTTGCTTTGCCAGGCTGCTGGGAGGCAGCCCATGGATAAAGCGCCTGGCCCTCCGGAAGGGCTGATAATGGCAGCCTGTGCCTGGGTCGCTTTATCATTGGAGTCTCCCATTTTACACACGAGGAAACGGAGGCTCAGCAAAGGAAGGGAAGTTTCTCAAGGCCACCAGAGAGCAACCCAGAGAAGGATTCCACACCAACTCTCAAGTACACACACCCCTCCCCTGCTGATCACTGGGGGGGACAGGAATAGCTGTGCTGGGGCCTTGACTTCCTTTCCAGTGGAAGCAGGGACAGAGAAAGTCCATGAAGTGCCCTGAGTTGCTTTGAAATTGGAAGAGTCGTTCCCTCTGCAGAGAGCTCTGCTGGCTTATGTCTGGAGAGACCCCTACATTCTGCTCAGCCCTGGGGGCAGCAGAGTTGGGCCTGGCACATCCATTCCAGGGCCTGGGCCCCAGTGTCCCTCTGCCATCTGAGACGGCCAGTTACTTGTGGGCAGATGGCAGGAGGAGGTGCAGTGAGTCATGGCCCCTCACACGCCAGCTGGACCTCCATGTTTGCAGACATGCACACGGTTGCTGGCCATGTGGCAGCTCCACCAGGAATCGTGGTTTACAAAGGGCTGGTCGGTCTCACAAGGCAGAGACTCCGCACACGCATGGCTGTTGAGCAAATGAATCTATTTCCACTTTGCAGCCCTACTCTCTGGGGACTGATTTGTCAATGTGAAAAGAAATGATACAGGCACAGTTACCAAATTCAACAAACGTGTGCGATGGAAATCCAGGCAGAGCTGAAGGGAGAGGATACTGAGGATATTCGCACCCTCTCCTAGCAGGGGCAAACCTACAGGCTGGTAGGGCCAGGGCAGGAACCAGACCTTCAGCCCAGGGTTTCCCCAAAGGGCCTGGGGAGCCCCTCAGGAACTCTCACCATCCTCATGTCTACTGCAAATTCCCAAAATTCTCCCAGACACTACAGCACGCCCGAATCCTCCAGCGACCCTCTCGGTAGCCAGCAGGCACTGTGCGTGCTGGAGGTTGGGGAAGAACTAGGCTCTGTGTAACAGCACCTGGGATGAGGGGCCTGGATCTTCTAGAATCCGTCAGGGAGCCGACAAAGATCTGAGTAGCGCACATCCTGCATCCCGAACAGTACGTGTCTACACTTGAACCTGGAGCCCAGAAAGCCTAGGCTGACTTCTAAGAGATGACATTTCACACGGAAAGCTTTATTATGTTTATAAAAGTTTCCTCTAATAAATGTACCCGATTCTTTTCTTTTCCTCATTTATAACCTCTTCATAAAACACTGCCTGTTAGGACCAGGATAGCTGAATATCTGATATGAGGATTCTGAGACCTTATTTATGCTATCTCCTCATGCAGTTGCTTAGGTATTTATTGCCTGTCTCACAGTTACATATACACCCTGGTGACATCTGCCTTCCTGATAGCAATAAAACCTGAAGAATGAGGGGAACTTTTAAGCACTTCTATTTAAGAATTAACCTCTACCTCTACTTCTCAAAGACAAAGTGAGTGATGTCTTGGGTACCACTCCGGGACATAGAGGGATGAAAAATGCTCATGGCTTTTCTCCCTCTTTCCTAAGGATTTATTGATGGGTAAAGCGAAGCCTCATTTCATCCTGGAAGGTGCAAGCAGATTTGACATCCAGCAAGGGGAGGCAGGTAAGAACCCACTGTCTTCTCTTCCAGCCGTGGACCAGGGCAGCTGCGCAAAGTCAGCCTCTGGCTAGGAAGTGTGGAGGCCCTCAGAACTCTGTCCCAGCTGCTGAGGCCAGCCCTTCAGTGCTACTGTAGATGGACAGCCCATGTCCAGTCTGCAGCCTGCAAGTCAGCTTAGTAATGGGTGTGCAGAGCTATTACGGTGAGACATTATCAAAGAAAGGGGGAAAAAATGGACACAGGGTTTGGTCTGAGCACTGGGTAGATAGAAGCATCTGGAAGATAGGAAGGAGAGAGAGAATGAGAAAGGGAAAGCAAGTGTTCACTGAGCTTTTGCAATGCTCTGCTAGATACTGTGCCTGTGCTGTTTCCGTTATGCCCCGTAACATCCCCACTCTATATGTATATGCAAACTCAAAGGGTCCAAGAGGTAAAACCATGTCCTTCATGTCACATAATCAATAAGTGACAGAGTTGGGTTTGAATCCAGGGCTGTTTGACTCCCTCCCACCCACCAGACAGCCATGGATCAAAGTTGTTGCTAAGAGCTGAGCAGTTTGGATAGGGGAGAGGAGGGCTTGCCTTGGATGGGATCAGGAATGACCGAGAGAAACCCCTGAGTCAGAAACACAGGAGTGGAGGGGTGGACAGGCTGGGAGAGGAAAGTGGGCAGGGAATTAGGAGACAGCACAATCAGACTCTTCTAAGAACAGACTCTATATTCTTAAAACACCCGCCTACAAGTTATGCCTGCAACTTGACTTCCCCTGCTGGAATCACGGTGCCTTGGGCTAAGTGGATAGAAGCCTGTGTTTCAGTGTTGGGAAGACCCCCAGCAGCCATAACCCTCTGGTTAGAGCTTCCCCTATGTGGAGATGGGACCTTTCTGAGGCCGTTTCTATGTCTGACACAAAACGGCACTCAAATAATTGGTTGTGTTGAAGATAAAGGAGGGAAGATTCAGTAGAAGGAGGTGATGCTCATGCTCAAAGGGCTCACCATGACATCCAAGGAGAAACTCAAGGCCACATTGCCCTCAAGGGGGAAGAGGAGAGAGCCCCTGTGTAGGCTAGACGGGTCTTGACACAGTAGAGGAGAGCAAGTATTAGCAAACAAAAACACAAATCTGTTTGCTGACAACAAAAGACACTGTCACTTTAGTTCTGAGTACCTCTGGCAAAATGAGAATCAGAAGACACGTTGGCCTACCAGTCTGCCAAAGCCTGGCTGGTGTTCTGATGACCTCCCTCAAACCACCATGACCTCCACCATCAATCACTCCACATCAATCACCCTCACCTCTACCATCATCACCTCCACCATCACCTCCGCCATCAATCACCCCACCATCACCTCCACATAATTCACCCCCACCATCACCGCTACCATCATCACCCCACCATCACCTCCATCATTAATCATTACCACCAGCTCCTCCTCTGTCTTACTTAGAACTGGCCCTAGTGAATTCTTCCTTCAGTTCTCTCTCAGATGGAAAAAATGCATTATTGAGAAGGACAAATGTGGACTCTGGCTACAAAAACATGCGAAATGTTACAATGTAAGTTGTAACATCTGGTAGGATGATTTCACCTTCATGTTTCCAATAGGCCTCTCACACTTGGCATGTGTCCCCTCACAGGAGACTGCTGGTTCCTGGCAGCACTGGGCTCCTTGACACAGAACCCACAGCATCTGCAGAAGATCCTGATGAACCAAAGCTTTTCCCGCCCGTATGCAGGGATTTTCCGTTTCTGGGTACGTGCACCGCTGGGATACTCCTGCATGGTTTTCTCTGAGCTCAGGGAGTGACTGTCTTGAATAGTCTCTTGTCTGACATCCTGAGATGTGGAAGGGGCACTAACTTATGTGTTAGTCACACTGCATAGCGCCAAGAAAGGGTTCACATGACCTGACAACGCCTGGGAAATGATAAGAGTAAAAATGTTCTCATGTAAATTACTTTATTTTTGTATCATTTATTCATTTACTTTTGAGAGCACATTTATTAAAGCTGAGGACAGTGAAACCGGAAGGGCTTAAGATAGAAGGAGCAACAGGAGAGGGCTTAGGCGGGGCTGCTTCGGCTCACTGAGAAATCAGAAAAAAGGGGCCTTGGGGACAAGTTCAGGGGATTAATCCAGGATGAGCTGCCACTGCCTGTTGCTCCCCTGGTGTTAAATCTCCTGGGGTCCCTTAGAGTTTAGTAGATGTGTGCTATGGGGGAAGAAGAGGAAGGGAGAGGCATGGGTATGCTCCTGAGAGGGTGGGTGAATGCTCATGTAAGTTTTTTGTAGAAGGCAGATGCAATCGGCAAAAGAAAAAAAAAAGAGTCTTTGATCAAGCACCCCCTACATCATCGAGTTTTTGTCTATGTCTAGTTCTGTGCCATATCTGGTTATTTTTATTACAGTAGCTTTAGAGTAAGTTGTAACATCTGGTAGGATGATTTCACCTTCATTATTCATTATTCTTTTCTCAGAAGTATCTTCCTAATTCTTGCACATTTATTCTTCAATGAGAACTTTAAAATCATTGTGTCTAATTAAAAAGAAAAGCCATTGTGAGGCGAAGTGAAGCAGCATTAAATTTATGTATTAATTTGGGAAAAATTACACTTTTATTATGTTAATGATTCTTTCCAGAAACACGGTCTATCTTTCCATTTATTCAGAACTAGTTTTATGCCCTTCAATAAAATGTTATGGTTATGTTTTCATATTGATGCTATACCCTTCGTGGTAAATATAGTCTCTTATATTTTATAGTTTGTAGCTCATGTGAATGAGATTTTCCCCCTCATTTATAGCTTCTAGATGTTGCTGAAAAGAGAAAAGCCACTCCTTATTAGATATTAAATTCCATCCAGCCAATTGACCACATTCCTTTATTTGTTCTAACTTTTTTCTTTAGTAGAGTCTGGACTTTTTAGGTATCTAATATTATCTGCAAATAAAGATGATTTTGTCTCTTCTTTTACTATTTATAGAACTTACTTGCTTTTGTGCTTTGTCTCTTCAGTTAGTACCTGACAGTTTTGAATAAGAGTGACAAGAGCAAAACTCTGCCTTCTCTGGATTTTAGTTATATAGTTTCCTGGTCCTCCATTCTTTAAATTCACTGTTGGATTTAATTTGTTAAAAATTTGATTAGAATTATTGCATCTATGCAATATGTAGAATTGGAGGCTAGTTGTTTTTTAATGTTTGAGTTATACTAACTTTTTAAAGTGAACCCATTGAGCTTTGGAAAGAAGAAGTTCACTTACATACTTTGATCTGATATAATTTGAAAAAATGGTGTTACTCATTAGTTATCTTTTCTTTGGAAGTAAAATACATAACAGATGCAGATGATTGAGGCTTTGATTTATATAATTACCTTTAGTTATTTTCATTAATTCCCATTTATTTTCTCTTTGTTAATTTTATTGTGTTTTTTAAATGTTCTGAATCTTCACATTTAATATTCTTGGGGTTTTTTTTATCATAAAAACTTTGAGATTAGAAAATTTCCTCTAAGGTCTTATTTCTATCCATAGGTTTCAATATAAAATATCTTACTTTTATTAAATTTAAGATAATATTTTTAATTTTAAATACATTTTATAGGGAGGTCATCTTTTGGTTGTAGAATTTTAGATTTATTAAATTATGGTAAAAATATAAACCATAAATCTCTACGTTTGGGGAAATTATTAAAATTTTATTTATGGTCAAGTTCATCACATTTTTGTAAATGCTTCACTTGCAGATTATCTAACGTACAATCATCTCTTTTATCTGGGCTTATTTTTTGTCTGTGTGATTTGTCAAATTCTGAAAGAGGTGATGAAGTTCCCCAAAGTTAAAGTTTGGAGAGTTCCTCGTATGCTTTCAGATATTCTGGCTTTCTATTCTTCCTGCTATATTCATTAGTACCCAAAGATTCTTGTTATCTGGTTGGTGAAATAAAGCTTACAAATATATCCCTCTTTGTCACATGTAATGCTTTTGACCTTCAGTTCCTCTTTATCTGATATTTATATCGCTGTTCTCGGAAAGTAAGTTGGGAAAATGGGGTAAGGGTCACTTGTAAGGGGGAACCAACCAGAGTAGCTCTTTCAAGCCAGGACTCACTCATTCTGCATGATGACCTACTGTGCTCCAGGCACCATCTTAGGTGCTAAATGGAAAGGCTATTGAAAAAAATTTCTACTTTCAAAATAGTGATCTCACTTTTACAGTCTTATCTGATCCCAATTACAGCCCCAGGAAACAGTTCTTACTCTTACCCTCATTTGACAGATGAGGATCCTGAGACACAGAGAACTAAGTGTCTTACCCAATGTCTGTTGCTCAGGTAACTAAACACAACACCAGGACTCAAGCACAGATCCACTGACTGTAGACTGTCTGCTATACTTGGCTTTCCCCTTAAACCCAAATCCAGACTGGACTATCCTTCCAGGACCCTCTTTTAAAAGCTGGGATTCGCTTTCCTTGGTGCTTCAGCCACATTTCACGATCTCCTTCTAGTAACATCCCTGCTGGCTCTTGACCTTACCCACCAATGGGTCTTCATTGCAATAGGGACATGAATCCACAATGGTGCCGAAACTGGTGCAGTGCCTGGGTTCATTAGTGACCATGAAAACATCTTTGATTTGTCTCCACCGACACCTCCATCTTGGTCTCCATTTTTGCTTTGCAAGTGCATCCTCGGCTGATGCAAAGGCCTGACATCTGGGACATCCAGCTGTGGAAAAGGCCTGGGGCTGGCTTCCTGACATTGCCGAGTAGATGACAGATCGCGTCCACCCAGGTTATGTTGAGCCCACCTGTCGGAGACTTGCCTGCATCAAGGCTCAGGCCTGAAGCCGGAAGCCCTGCTGCTTAGCCAGCACTGGAGAGCCCAGAGAAGAAACTCCAAAGGGCCGGCTTTGTTATGGATTTTCCTCATTTGCCGATGTCCTGGGTGAACCATTAAGAGTTGAATGCCTGGGACTGAAGCAGTCTGTTTTGGAGAGGAACATCTGCTTCATTTGTGCTCTTAGCAGCAGCAGTGCCAGCCGGTGTCATTTCTGCTGCTGTGATGGCAGGGCCAGAGCGAGGCTGTAACGCTCAGTCCTCCTGTGCACTGCTCATCCTGCAGTCCCTGGGCCTTCGCCCACGCTCTCCCTGCCATCTGGGGTGTCTTCCCTGCCTCTTCTCCACCTGCCCAGCCCTGCCTCCTCCCCCAAGCCTTCAGCTCCCTGCCTCCTTCCCCATGACAGCATCTGTATCTGACACTCAGCATCTGCTTCCTCCACTGCCCTCCTGTACCGGCTGCACCGGGAGAGTCTTCTGCTTGGAGATCACAAAGCACTTGCCAGGATGAGGCCAGACTTAGGAGCAAAGTCAAGCTAGAACCTAAGTCTCCTTTCCCTCTGCTGCATCCTCCTTGACTAACTTGGTCTGTGACTCATTTTCTCCATCTGCCAGTGGAGATGACATCCCCTGTCTATCAACATGGGCTGAGATTTGTTCTGGATAGCGTTCATTTTTGCGTTGCGGGGGTCATGTGGTGACTGTGGTTATCTTCTGACACAGGTTGCACATCCAGGAGCTGCCTTACCCCGATGCTATTGAGCCATATGTCCATCTCTCTTCTAGTTCTGGCAGTGTGGCCAGTGGGCAGAAGTGGTGGTTGATGATCGCCTGCCTGTCCTGAACAGAAAGTACCTCTTTGTGCATCCTCTCGACAACCAAGAGTTTTGGCCGTGCCTGCTGGAGAAAGCCTATGCCAAGTAAGGACGGGCTTGCCCCTGAGTCCAGGACCTCAATGCTGCCCGCTTGTGTGGCTGCTAGGCCAGGCAGGGGCGTCCCACCAGCCAGCCCGAAACTGTTGGCAGATTTGCGGAATGCGAGCGATGCACCTGAGAGCACCAGAGCCTTTGTCATCTAGCTGGGCATCCTCCATAAGCATTCACTGAGTGCAAGGCTGTGTTGGGCCCTTGGAAGGGACCCAGAAGCACCCAGCAAGGGGTGGGCAGGGCAGGGCTGGACAGAGAAATGCACTGGTGATGATATCATTGCAAGGGCTGGTAGAGAGCCCAAATAAAAGAACATATCACGGTCATAGTCTGCTGAGAGGACAAGGGAGAGAGAAAACAATTCTGACTTTCATACTCACAGAGTCAGTTTGAGGCTACACAGAGGAAATGGCATGGAGTGATGGGTAGGATTTCAGCAGGGGAAGAAGTATGTGGGGGAGGCATCCCAACAACAGGGATGATTCCAACAGAGAAGTAGGGGAGGGAAAGTTCAAAGTGAGGTCGGGTCGGTAGGGGCCTGCTGTAGCTGCTGTGGGATTGCATTTATGTGGGAGGGTGGGGGAGACGTTGTTCCGTGTTATATGGTCCAAACACCGTGATACGGGGCTGTCTCCTGGTGTTGACAAGCTCGGGGACTTGCAAACACCCCAGTTCACATTTTGCTTAGATTCTTCTGGGCTACTTATATTCAACAGAAATTCATTGAGCATTTAACCACAGGCCAGGCTCTGTGCTTGGCACTGGGTTATAAACTCTCAGACTGGTTCATATAGGTGTGTGCAAAAGTGCCTGTGTGTGTAAGAAGTCACTTTCTAAAGAACCACACAGGCGAGGGACACATCAGAGCTAGAAATCAACAGTAGGAGACGAAAGCCAGGGGACCACGCCTTTCAAGAGTAAATGGGCAGTGGCGAGTGTTGCCTCATTAGGTTTCATAAAGGTCATCCTAACCCTCACTGGCCCCTCATGCCCAGGCTTTGAATGGTGAAGTGACCCGGGTGTAAGTAGTTGGCCTGAATCTACTGAGGTCCTCGGTCATGTGACAGAAGACGTTATTTAGCAAGACCGGGTCCAATCCTATTTAGAGTCCTGAGGGGTGGTGACAGTGCAGACTATCCAGCCCCTGTCCTTCTGGGGGTCACAAGCTGAACAATAAGACGTCCTGAGACCTCATTTTTTGCCTTCTTCCTTTTGAGCCAACTTGTCAAAAGGGAAAGCAGTTGCTCTCTCCAGTGTCAAGAAGAGCTGTTGGTTAGAATTGGAGAGCAAAGCCCAGTTTCCAGTCTAGGTTATTGAACCGATTCATGTGCTTGGGGCGGTTCATTCATAAACACTGCCATTATCTTTCCAGTACGGAGTCAAGCATCACCCTCAGGGCCTTGTTTCTCCTCATGTCAAGGGGTGTGTGTGTGGGGGGGGGGGGGGGGGACTGGCAGCTCACAGGGAGAATCAGAAAGCCTGTGGAATGGAATGATGACTCTGACGCCATTTTGTTAACAGCTGACCTAAGGCAGTCATTCAGCTTGAAAGGAAATAGGCAGCTGGACCCTGAATCCACATTCCACTCCCTAAAGAAATCTAGCCAAGGATAAAATCCTTTGGGATGTGAGCAGCCAGGCTCAGAAAGGTGAAATGACTTGCCCAAGGTCACAGGGAGCTTGAGGCCACGCTGGATGGAGATGGCACATGCTTTTCCATCATCCCTTCATGCTGTCAGCCCTATGGGAAAGGATTTCTCTCTTTTGCTTCTTTGGTACTTAGTGTCTGGCACATGGGGACCACAGCACGGACACACAGAAGCTCTCTGTCCAAAGGAGATGGCTCTCTTTCCCTCCAAGAGTGTAGGTACTGACAAGTGAATATGTGGCCTCCAAACTTCCAACTCTCCTGTGGTTTCGAGTCCGGAAATGCTCTGGTCAAGGCAGCCAAAGGGGGAAGATATCTATGTTTGCAGATTTTTTCCCCCCTGAGGTCATAAAACAGAGAGGAGATCAGGGGCAAGATCAAGTAGGCTGCATGTCATCCCATCTAGAATCTCCGCAGTTAAGAATTACAGAATTTCAACATCCTTTCTGGCTCTGACTTGGGCATCTGAATTCTTCCCTCTTTCTTATGGTTTCTGGGAAGATAAACATGTCCCCGAAATGAGGCTGAAGCAAACGGATGAGAACAAGGCTCTCTCAGAATTCCCGGGTTCGGGTGACAAGGCACAGTGACGGTGTGGTGAGCACAGTGCTCGCTCTCTCTCCTTCCCTTTCTCTCTCTTGTCAGCAAAGGGGGCTAAGAATAGCTGCCATGTTCCTGATGCATCAGCAGGATCGGCAAGCCTGTGCTTGTGAAGCAGAGAGGCAGCGCCTTGTCAGAACCCCCAGCTGCCGCTGGGATGGGCTGTGGGACCTGCAGAGAGCCAGGGAGAGGCTGTGAAAGCACAGAAGGAGGCTGCTGGCCGCGGGTCCTGTGCTGGCATCGGGGGGTCTCTCTGGTGACTGCAGAATGGTGGGGATGCAAGACATCAGCCAAAGCCTCAGACCCTGAGGACGCAGGCCTGAGATGACAGGGCAGAGCCTGGGAGCTGCTTTCCTGGGGTGACCCGGGTGCAGCCCTCCTGGAAGCTGGGGGTTGAGGGAGGACCGTTGCGGACCGGAGGTCACACTGCTGGGCTCAGAAATGGGCCTCTGAACTTGCAGTGCCCTCAGCAAAGCCCTCCCCATCTAAGATCAGGAGCCACGATACCTGTGGGAAACCAAGAGAGGCAGACGTTCACACCCCACCGGGCAGTCCTGATTCAAGGCAAACTGTGCTGTTGACCAAGCAAACACCTCAGAGATATGAGTCTTGTACCGGGCATAACCCTGAGTCCGAGGGCGGAGGAGAAAGATAAGATTTAGAACCAGTTTGATGACAAGTTGAGGTCAGTCACGCGGTTGTGCCTGTGGAATGGCTGTTTGGTTCCGTGTATCCTTTGCTCTCGTGACTAAGACACTTTTTCTAAGCCACTGCGGCATTTTTTGCCTGGAATGGTGTCCCACATACAGAGGCTGCATGGTATGTATTTGCTAAAGTGAACTTACGTGAATTCTGGCTGATGCTCCAGAGGAGAGAAGGACAGAGGTGGAAATAGGGTGAGAAAGGAGTGTCTGAAGGGCCCTCAGACCTGATCCAGCCAACCTCACCGTTTCCAGGTGAAAGGCTGAGGACTGGGGGGAAAGGTCTTGTTCAAGGTCACAGGCCCATTAGAGGCAGCTGCAGGGATGGGCCAAGGCCCCGATCCCCGTGTGACTCGCATTGCCAGAAGGAATGCTGTGGTAGGAATGTCACTGCCACTGACCTGTGAAGGGCTTGGTGTCTGCACCTCCCTCACCTGCTATCTCCTTGGTGCTGCTGGGTGATAAGTCTGAGAATGGGGATGGGAAACCGGGCCAAGGTGTGGACAGCGTGAGAACAGAGGCTGCCTTGGCCACAGCAGGCATCAGGGGGGTTGCCCGTGAGCTCTCTGAGGGCAGGAATGGGGTCCCGTTCATCTTTGAGCACTCAACACCTAACATGGCACCCCACATGCAGTAATTGCCTTACCAGTATCATTAAAATGGACAGGAAACAGTGGGTTCTCATCATAATCATATCCAGTGTTTATTAAGGGCTTGCCATGAGCCAGGCCCTAAGTCCTAGCCCCATGAGGTTAAGTAACTTGTCCAAGGTCAAGCAGCTAAATACGGGGTGAGGTTGGGATCTGACCCCTGGCCTGCAGGTCCAGCCCCTGCACTCCTGACCTTTACACAACACTGCCGCTTGCGGGGCTGCCCAGGCTGGGAGACCAAGGAAAGGATGTGACTGTGGGTGGCAGGTGCCTAGAGGCTCCAGCCAGGTGAATGGGAGGTGGGTGGCCGTGGTCTGGGGGTGGACAGGCAGTCCATCGCCTGCAAAGCATGCAGAGGTCAGGTGCGCAGCCTCCCTTCCTGAGGGTCTCACTGACGGCACCACAGGGTTTGGGTCTGACTTTCTCTCCCAGGTTCCGCGGATCCTATCAGCACCTGCACTACGGCTACCTCCCTGATGCCCTGGTCGACCTCACGGGAGGGGTGGTCACCAGCATCGACCTGCACTCCTCCCCTTCTGACCTAGTGACGATGGTAAAGACAGCTGCCAACGCAGGCTCCCTGATGACCTGTGCCACGCCGGCCGGGGTGAGTAGATCTGGAATCCTTTGTGTGGGCCCGGGCTCTCCTCACCTGGAGTGTGCAGCCACGGGCTCATTCAGCTAGAGAGGGAGCCCTCAAAGCCACGCCCTGCAGCACAGTAGGTCATGCTGTGCTTTACCGAGGTAATGTCCTTCGATGCTCAAGACAGCCCTCCTTCTGAGAGAGGGATTGATGGATTCGCTGACAGAGGAGGAAATGGGCTCAGAGAAGCCAAGGAAAATGCTCCCCGTCACACAGCCAGCAGGTGGCCAAGCAGGTTGTTGCTCTCTGACCTCAAAGCCTTTGCCCATTATTTCCCCGTGACCAGGAGCAATGGGTCCAGAGTGAACGGCTGTGAGGGGGGGGCCTTTGATTCTCCTTGTTTCTTTATGAAGGCAGCTTCCCAAAGGCAGCATGGCCCGTTTTGAAAAGTCTGAATGAGCCTCCAAATTATTAGTCTGGTCTGAGATGGTCAGCTTCCTACTCACAGGGTGAGGATGCCTCCTTCACTCTTGAAACATGTGAGCTTTGAGCCACCCAAAACTAAGATGTTCTTCAAACCCCAATAACTTCTGGGACGGGTTCCCTGCCATCTCATGGATAGCGAGCACCTGCTTGGACCCCCTTCCCCCCCAGCTCCTCAGGCTCTATCAGTCATACAGTGGGTGGTCTCTTGGGGTATGAAATGCCTGGGACCTCAACCACCCAGCAGCCTTCAAACCCCGCCTCTAGAGAAGAGTCCCAGGAATGCACGCCCTCCAGCCAGAGTCAGTGGGACACTTTTCACCAGCCATGGCCCAGGGCCCATGAACTGTGCTGTTCTCTCTCTTGGGAGAACCTGTGAAAGTCTAAGGCATGGTCTGCTTTTCTCCCATGAAGCCAACAGGGAAGGCCACGAGAATGGAGAATGGCCTGGTGAGCCAGCATGCCTACACCGTGACTGGGGCCGAGCAGGTAAGGCTCCATGGGCTGGGCCCCATGGTCTTGCTCCTTGGAACAAGGTGTCAGAACCACAGGCCCCAGCAAAGCTGAAGCGAGTGTTTATCACCCTTACCTGCGATGGTGCCCATCATGAACAGCTGGGTCCTTCTATTTGTCCAGAAGTTCTGGTGCCCAGGACCCTTATCCCCCAGGGATCCTGCTCTCCTGAGGGCTCTCAGGCAGGATGAGGGGCTGCCTGGACTGGGGATTATCCCTAAGGAAAGCAAACTGAACTAGCCAGTTGACTCTAGGGGAAGTTTTGCCCTGAAGAGTTTTAGTTGTAACATACCAACTAAACCACTATAGCAGACGTTCCAAAATACAGGGCTCAGACAGGTAAGGTTTGTTTTACTCTCAAGTAAGCAGATAGTCTGAGAGCTAGTACGTGGTTCTGCCATCCACAGCATTGGACTTCCCCCTGTGAGTCCTGGGCAGCTGCCCCAGACCCCCTCCTCGTCCAGCCAGGGGAAGAGAAGGAGGCCAGGGGAAAGGGATGCATCCTTTTGGAAAGGCACACTCTCAGATTCCATTGATCTGAACATGTGGCCACAGTGAGGCGCAGGGAGTCTGGGAAACATACTGTCTAGCTGGAGCACCACATGCCCGGCTGGAACTTTATTCCCATGGAAGAGGGCAGGGTGGCCATGGAGGACAGTCTTTCCCTTGATACAAAACTGACTGGGTGCACAAAGACATATGCAATTCCTGTGTGCAGCATCATCTGGTCAAGAAGATACTACTAACGTCCAGCTTCCTCCGTTCAAAAGTGAAGAAGCAGAGGCCTGCATGGGGATGGTCTCTCACAAGGTCACACAGCTACTTACAGTGGCTGGGCCATCACCACAGCTCCTCGGTTCCCATCTTTGTTTATCACACAGCCATGTGGCGACAGCAGTTCCTGGCCTGGTGATGACTTCTCACAAAGGTTCCCCATCTCGGTACTTCCCACAAACCTCACGGTGTAATACTGTCTTCCAGGCCCTACCAGATAGCATGCCAAACTCCAGGGAGCATTTTGCATGGGCCAAGGAAAGCAGTGTGCTGGGGTCTGTTTCTAGCCTGCTTTCTCCTGCTGGCCTGCCCTCTCTGTGTCAATCTATCTCTCCTGTCCGTCGACCTATGGCCCCTTGGTCCATTGTTTCATGTTTTGGTGAGTGTTCCAACCCACAAAACAAGTACAAAATCTTATGTCTCCCTAAAGAAATCAGAAACAACTCCTTCCTCTGCACAGAGACAGGAGGCACCTGAAATGCTAGTTGGGTCAATGGATGGATGCCCTCGTAGGAGTGAGTGAATGCATTCGTCCTTGGCCTATGAAGGGGACATTCTTGATCCTTCATCAGAGATCATATGTGATGAGCTCAACACACATTTCCCAGAGTAAGGAAGTGGTTATCCTGATACACCCGTCTCAGTGGCTCCAGACTCCCTTCCTCTGAATTCCCCCAAGCATTTCCCTGAATTCGCGGTGGGGACAGCCAATACCATGTCCAGGCACCGCTCCCCACACCTCCCCTGACCCAGATGTGGACAAGTCTGGGCTAGAGACAGCAAATCAGTTTCCTAATGAGTCAAACTTGATCATTGGCCACGCTGCCTGGATTGCTGTATGGACAAGACTTTGGCATTGCTTCCAGATCTGGGGAAAGAGCTGTGATTGGTGATGGTACCCGTGCTGGGCATGGAATGAAAGAACCATGGTGCCTGCATGAGGCATCTGCCATTCCTGGGCCCAGCCCTTGTTATTCACAGAGACGGCCTCTGTTTCTTCTCTGAACACACGCGAGAAGGGACTTGTGTGTTGAGAGGTCCAGGTGGCCATGGGTGTGAGGCCCCACAGAGGCTGGCATGGCGACGCAGGACCGTCAGGTTATAGAGCGACGTATATATATACACCAAGGGCCGAGGGAAGGGAGGTGAACTCAGGACTCGGGCTGTGGGGGTTTGGGCTCCGGATGATTCCTTTACCTATGTGAGTGTAAGCTCCCCCACAGCACACACATTGAGTTGTTCCTGAGTGGATCAGGCCACCTCTCCTTGAAAGGAGGTGATGAAGACTCAGTGTCCTGTTGGCACTGTCCGGCCCCTCTGTGGCTGCTGACACTCCCCAGCCTGTGCTGTAAGGAGCACCAGCCTGGTGAGAGCCTCTGGGGAGCTCACCGGATCCCCCGCTTGGAGATTCATGATGGACATAAACATGTTAAAGGCTCTGAGAAGGTCTATATTAACCAGACAGGTACAGCTTAATGTTAATCAACCATGAAACCCCTTTTTTAGGAATAAGCATTAACAGCCTATGGGACTACCATTTGAGGGGATAGGTTTAAGGAAATACTGTCCTAAGATAGAGAACCTGGATTAGCTCTTGAATGGACTCCTGAGCCACCCGGCCAGTTAATGGAGGGCGCTGACAGAAGTAGTGGCAGAGTCGGACATGAAGCCAGGGACTTGCCTCAGTGGAAATTTCTCCTCCAGAAAGAGAAGGCTATAAATCTCTGCGAGGGTGAAGATTAAACCAGCCCATAAATGCTGTGTGCTTTTTAATCTGCTCATCCTCCCTCTGGGCGGGACACGGACAGGAAGATAAATGAAATTGGCATTTTTTATTATGTACCTAGCCTGGTCCATGACTCCCGTGGGCAAGGGGTGAGTGTTTATCTGCATGCCTCATTTAGCCTTCTCCCAGTCCCCTGCAGTCCCTGGCCACTCTTCTCTCCTGGGCACAGCGGAGCCTTGACTGTCTGGTAGGCACTGAGGGTGGCTCAGTAAGCTCTTTGGGTCACGGGGCACCCATTACTCATTCCTGCTTTGTGGGCACCACCAGGTGCTGGCAGTCAGGAGGTCATGTGCAAAGCCTGGGGTGCTCCAGGGTAGGGCAGAGAGGGACAGGGAACCTGGGTTTGAACGAGGAGCCCCCTGACCCCCATCCCATGAGGCATTTAAAAGCTGGAACGCCTTCTACTGCAATGCCAGCCAAAGACAGAAACAGCCAAGGAAAAGCCACAGAACAGAGCATTACCCAAGCTGGGATCTTGGACCCTCGTCTCACTGCACTGCTCCTTCGTGGCAATGCTTTACTGGTGATCCCGTGGGCCTCGGCCAGGTGCTTGGGTTATATGTGGGGTCAGGTTCACAGCCACATCAAAGAGTGGGCTGGGCACTGGAGCGGCTGTTCCTTTATTCTGCCCCCTCACCCCCCCCCTACTAGCTTGCACCTCCCCCCAGTTCCAAAATTAAGAGCTTGGGCTTTGGAGAGTGACTATGGCTAGGGTCAGAATTCTGCCTCTGCCACTTTCTCTGTGGCCTTGGGAAAGTTGCTTAACCTCTCTGACACTCAGTCCCCTCCTCTACAAGACAGCGGTTGTGTAAAAACCTACCTCAGAGGATTGGAAGATGTCTCTCCCATCCGGCACTCCACCCAAGCCTGGTTCCAAGCACACGGGTTCTTTCCCATGCGACGATACTCAGCTCAGCTTCCTCTGACCTGGAGTCATTGAACAAGTCCGCCCCCTCCCTCACCCCCAGGCCTCTGTCTCCGCAGACAGCATTAGCACAGATCAATAGCCCAGCTACAGCTCGATCACGCTTTAATTTCTCTCGCCAGGCTGAGCGCTGCTGGATCCGGGACTATAGGTCCAAGGGTCGCCATTATTTCATTGTAATTTTTCAATAGTCCTGCCCTCTGGCCTCAAGTGTCTGAAAAAGCAAATGTACCAACTCCCTTTTCTGGGAGTGAGTGATACGGAGGTCCCAGGGGGAGGAAAGGCCAAGCCCTGGAGACTCCCTGCTCCAGAACAGAGATGGGGGGTGGGGGGAAAGAGTGGGATGAGGTGGGCTAGCCCCTGACATCTTCATTTCTGAGTGGTCCCAGTCTTGCTCAAATCCTCCTGCTCACCCAGGACAGTGCTATGAGACCCAGCACAGCTCCGAGTGGGTGCCTGGCAGGGAAGCAGCCAGTCTGGGGTAGCGATGCCCACTGCGGATCACTGGAGGAAGCTCGAGATCCACAGTTCTCCCCTCTGCAGCTGGAGGCTATCATATTTGTCCGCTGTCACATCAGCTCACCCTAGGAACGATGGGGTAGGCCCTGCTCTGCAAGGTGCTGAGCAGAAGGGGCCATGTTCTCTGCCTTAATCTAGCTCCATGCAGGCAGCAGGCATTGATTTTTTTTTTCCTTTCCATTTTTTTTTTCTTCCTGGCTGCAGCCAAATGAGGTCAGAAGTTAAATTAGTCCTTGGAGGTAGAAAGCAGCTGCATTCACATCCCCTCTTTCCGCTGACTTCGGCTGGAGGCCTCTGACTGTCCTTTTCTCTTCTTGCAGGTTCAGCACCGGCGGGGCTGGGAGGACCTCCTCCGCCTGTGGAACCCCTGGGGCCAGGCCGAATGGCGAGGGCGCTGGAGCGATGGGTACGGCTTCTGGAAACCTCTCTATCTGTCCCGAGCCCCCTGTTCAGAGGCCCCTGCCCGGTGGAGTCTGTCTCCCCTTCTATGGATCTCTCCGCAGGCTTTTCCAGTTCACACCTGTCTGACTGTGGGTCCGTCTCACACTCCCATGAGCCCCATGCCAGCTTAGACGTTTAGATTTACACCCTCTGAAGGCCCCTGAGTGGGGGAGGGATGTGTACACCGCAGGGACCGACTCTGTAGACTCTGTAGGGTCAGGTGTTTGGGCTGAACTTTGAGGTTCACCATTTCCCACCAGAAACCAGGCTGGAAGGAAGCGACAGGACTGCACGCGCACTGTCTCCAGGCAGGTGATCCATTTCCTCTCTCCTCCTCAAAGAATGGAGGCGAAGGAGAGAGCCGAATGGTCTAATCCCGGCCACAATTGAAATTTCAGTTGCACACACTTGAAGGCAAACTTGCATGAATCAATAGCGTATTGATTTACACTACATTTATTTTCCCTTACACACCGCAGGAAATATAATTATCGCTTAATTATAAAATTGCTATTTTACAATAGCACATCTATCTGACTGGCTCAGCCTGCAGCCAGGGCCTGAGGGGTGGTGCCTGCCTGGCTCTCCCAGCACAGGGGTGACACGGCCCCCCTCGGCCCTCGAGGAAAGCCACTGGCAGAGAAAGATCTCATCACCTGCCTGTGCCTCTGGGCCTGTGGCCTCTGAGCATGCCTCCCCATTGAGGAATGGGCTGAGGAGGAGGTACCTCTTCCTTTCTGCCCGGGAGGGTCTCCTCCTCCATCCTGGGTCCTAGGACTAGCTTCGGGAACACAGTACCCCATGAAGTGGATGATTTTAATTATTAAGCAAGCAAACAATTAGTGCATGCCTACTATGTGCCAAGGCATGTGCTAAGCCCTCTGTTGGTAGCATTACCGTGGTGAGCAAGGCTCACTGAGCGCATGGAACTTGGAGGCTAGTGAGGGGACAGCCAATCAAGCCTCTTTGGAAAAGACCAGGATGCTGGGAAAAATAGAAGGGGGCAGGAAAAGAGAAAGACCGAATGTGAGAGGAAATGGCTCCATAAAGGAAACCTTAGGCAGGAGCTTACAGGAGCTGAGAGGGCCGATGAGGACGTCACTCATCAGGCGGCCGGGAGTCAGAGCTGACTCAAAGGCAAGTAGCACACAGACAGTAACAACTAGCACAGGGTACCCTGTGCTGAGACAGGAGTGGGACAGGACACTATGGATCTCAAATGGGAGTGGGGGGCATTGACTCAAGGTGGCCTTGGAATGGCAGGGGGGGGACAAGCAAAGCTTTCTGCAGAAGTGCCTTTTAGGAAAGAAAAGTGAAGTTCCTGGGTTACAGGACCAAAGGGAGAAAGACTATTACAGGCAGAGGGAGCATCATGGTGAAGGCCAAGGGCAGGAGGCTCTGGTGGAGACATGGGATGGACCCTGGCATGTATCCACCCAAAGCTCAGGAAAGAGGGTCGGGCTGTCGCCAGCCTGAAGCCCTCAGCACGTAGAGGATGACTGACCCTGTCCCGAGGGAGAATGACACCCTCCACGTGTACCCAGGCAGCGGCGGAGGACTGGGCCATGGGCCCCTGCTGGGCCACGTGTGGCTGGGATGAAACGCTCATGGGAGGCCTCACCCTATGGTTTTTCTGTCCACACCCAGGTCTCCGGAGTGGGAGGAAACCCGGGACCCACGGAAAAGCCTGCTGTATGACAACAAGGAGGATGGCGAGTTTTGGTATTTAGTCTTTTTTAAAATTGCATTTTAAATCTTTAAACAGTTGCCCACACCCTCAAGCGTTCCCCTTCCCCTAAAGTTTTGTGAGACTAGAGATTGGCTTTGCAGAGACCTGTGTAGAGGGAGCCTTTTTTCTCAACCGAGACAGACGCTTTGAATGGGCAATTCCTGGTGTGTTCTCGCTTTGGGTGACTCTTCATCTCTGAAATATTGGAACTTCCAGGAAATGTTAAGGGTAAAAGGAATATTGGCACCGGAGTTTGGAAACCAAGTTTCCTGGAAGCTGGGGTGCATGGTCTTCAGGCCTGTATTTCCTGTGCTTCTTAATAAATGTGTTTTTACTAGAGGGGAAGGGGGGTCCCCTCAGCCTGGCTTGCTCCCTCTTGCAATTGGGGAGCCCTCGGGGGATGTCCAGCTGAAGGCTTATGTCTGCTCCCCTCCCCTCTGGAGAGCAGACCTAAGCCGGCAGCCAGACATCCTGAGTGCTGCTGCAGAGGCTGTGAGCCCGGCTTCTGGCTGAGCGGCTGTACCACTGGGGGAGAGCACTGACCCCCAAGGAGCAGTTCCTGTGTTGAGCACCTGCCCCCTGGTGGTCAGTGTGTGTCATAGCAACCAGTTGTTCCACCGTTTTTCTATTTGCATATTAGCCCTTTATTATATGGGATTGATTTCAGAGAGAAAGAGAGGGAGTGAGATATAGAAACATCAGTGATGAGAGAGAATCATTGATGGGCTGCCTCCTGCATGCCCCCCTACTGGGGATCAAGCCTACAATCCTGGTATGTGCCCTGTCTGAGGATCAAACCAGTGACCTCTTGATTTCTGGGTTCATGCTCAACTGCTGAGCCACACACACACACCCCCCCCACCCCGCTGGGCTCTCCTGTGCTTTTTGTTGGGATCTGCATGAATTCCAAAAGAGTTAGCTCAGTTTATCACCCAGCCCAGGCTCAAGAGCTCACAGTTAGACACCGGTGTCTCCGCCCAGTGACTATTGCAAGACTAGATGTTGCGAAAACACATTTCTGGCCGTATGCTCTCATGTTAAAGGATAAGAGGGACATTTCTCTGAGGGACTGTCTGGTTTACTTAGTGACACTTAAAATGAGAGTTAGCATATGGGGAAAGGAAGCTGGGCCTAAGTAATTAAGAACCAGGGGGATGAATGTAAATTAGAAGGAAAAATATTCCCAGTATCTCCACTTTAATCACAGCATGAGGTGAGATGTTCGGTATTGAATTCATTTCATTCTGATGATAAAAACCTCGACAATGAAATTGGCAAAGGGCCCCAGGGGAGGGCGATTTCCTCACAGCTCGGAGGACTCCTGGCAGAGGGTCTGGCTGCCACCGTCCCGCTGGCCGGGAGCAACCTGGCAGTTTGATTTCTGGGTCTAGGAGATGGCAGTCAGTGATCAAGTCTTTGCCAGGTGACATGCAAAACCCGGGATTTCCCTCTGCCCTTGTCTTCCCAGCCACGGGAGGGAGCAGAAGGGTACTTGACCTCAGGTGACCCAGAGTGAGAGGAGGCTCTGATCTTGGGTTGGGGAGTGGTAAGGCAGCGAATGCTGCAGCTGACAAGCAAAGGTACAGGCGAGTGAGGGGAACCCCCACCCTGGGGACAAAACCAGTGCTCATTAGGTGACATGTATCTACTTTTAACAGGATGTCGTGTCGAGATTTCCAAGAGAACTTCTCCTGCCTGTATATATGTAACCAGTTTCCAGTCAACCTGGACCTGGGACACACGTCCCATGAAAGATGGTCCCAAATGACGTTTAAGAACCGCATGACTCCGGATGACACCACAGGTAGTAGTGACACTGGTCAAGATCCTGGCAGATGGGATGCTGCCAGCCCTGGCCCCGTCCTGGTTTCAGGTCTCAATGGCTTTTGTTCTGACCCATCAGCCTGAAGTTGGACGGAGAGGAATTTGTCAGCCTAAGGGACAGCAGTACTTCTCCCAGAGAAATGGGTACTGGTGGGGTGGGCAGGGGGATCTCAAATGTGTCTCCCTGACCTTCCACTCTCCTACTATCTCCCAGGAGCAGAATAGATCCATTTCCAGGACGGTGGGGGGGGGGGGGGGGGGCCCGCTGGGTTGAACTCTGTCCTTGCCACGTACTGGCTTTGTGACTCTGGGAATGTTGCTGGTCTCTGTCCTCCACCGCCCCTCCTGTGGACAGTGGGATTGGTAATTCCTGTCTGGTCCTAGACACCACAAGCATCACTCAGATGTAAGGGCAAACATTCCTGCCCCAGTCAGCGTGTCCTGCCTCAGGGCGCTGATGCCAGAGGAAGCCCTCAGAGCCTGCCTCTGGGCTCCTGAGATAAATCATGTTGGCTGTGACTCTGGGAGCATCACCTACTCTCACTGTACCTCCCACTCCCCACGCGTGGTTGAGTGGAATACCTCTCTGTGAGGGTGACCCTGAGTGTGCTTACATAGCCTGCATAAGACAGGCTGTGAAACAATGTGTGTGTGTGTGTGTGTGTATGTGTGTGTGTGTATGTGTGTGGGCATGTGTGTATGAATATGTGTATATGTGCGTGTGTATATGAGTGTGTGTGTGTGTATGTGTGTGTGTGTGTGTATGTGTGTGTGTGAGTATGTGAGAGTGGGTGTACACCTAGACATGTGCATTCCTTCTCCTTAGCACTTTCCTGCCTTGAATGGTTTCCTGAATGACCCTCGCCCCCCCCCCCCCCCAGAGTGTCCCTCTTTCAACCTCCAGGCTCTTCACTCTGCTGGTCTCATCCCTATAGTTTAAGAAATGTTTTCACCAAGTGGTGAATGTCTTCCTCCTCCTTGTTTTTAAAAGGAGACTGAGGCTCACAAAATAAAGAAGCTCTTTTCACAACTTTGGACTCTGGGGCCCACACCCGAGGTTCTAACCACGCCCAGGGCTCTCTGAACTCCATGTGTCTCCCCTCTGCCCCACCCTCCACCCCCCACAGTCCCAGGGGCCAGGAGCTGAGCTGAACTCCAGCGCCAGCTCTTTCTCTTGCAGGAGGACTTCAGAGGGACACACAGTACATCTTCTCTGTGCCGGAGAGCGTGGGAGGCAGCAATGTCGTTGTGTCTTTCAACATCATGCCACAACATGTAAAGGCAGAAGATGGGAAATTTCCACTAAACTTCCAGGTGTTCAAGGTAAGGCCGCTTGCTTCAGGGTTTGTCCTTTTGAGACATTCGTGTTCACCTGGGGGGAGTGGGTAGGAGGGGGGACGTGAGAGCAGCCAAGTAGGCTAGGAGATGTCACTAAACCACAGCCTAGGAGATACACCCCAAAGGGGCTATGGAGTTCATCTGGTCCAGCTCTGAACTTGCAGGAACACCTAACACAGAGAGGAGATTAGACTTGACCAGGTTTACAATGGGACACACCCACCCACGCCAGCATTTCCTGGTGTGCCGTGGCTCTCATGCTTGTTGCTGAAACCGTGGTCCAGGTCTGTCTTACCTTCAGGCCCTATCAATGTCTTGCTTTTCCTCCAAACTTTGTCATCATTGCTGACAAATGATGAATAACCACATCTGGCTGAGCTGACAAAGGGCAAGCCTCCTTCTCTCAGTTCCTTTCTCCCTTCCTTCATGTCCTTCCCCCTCCTGCTCCCCACAGTGGGTTCGCTTTCCTTTCCCACAGCTCCCCTCGGGCAGTGTGCAGCAGTCCCCACTCATCCCTGAGTGTGCCAGGCACCCCTCGGACCACACAGAGAGAAGGAATGCAGGGCCTTGAGCTGGGCTGCTGGGATCTGCTTGCCCTTGGGTATTGAACGGGTTTCTGAATCTGCCTTTCTTCTTCTTCTTCCCCACAGGTTGACCCTCAGGTATGGCTCACCACCGCCCTCACTGGGCTTCTCACGCCTCTGTTGTCGACTGTCGGTCAAGTGTTACGGACTGACACCCATGGACCAAGAGCCCTCGCCTGGCCCCCACATTCACACTTCTTGCTGCCATTGAGCAAGTCGGTTCTGCAGGATCAGGAGTCTGGACAGGGCAACGAGGGTACAGTGGAGGGAGGAGGGCAGGAGAGCAGGGAAGCAGGGAAAACCTTATCTTCTACATTGCAGGGGACATGATATTCAAGTGTGGGTATATGTGCGCATGCACATACACAGGACAGTGCTGGCTCTGCAGAAGAACTAAGCTCATCATTGCTTTTGCCAGAAGGGCGCAAGCAAGTCAGCTCCCAACCCGCTGAGGCCACTGGGCATGTCAACAGCATCACTTTGGAGATTCCATCCAAAACCCTGGTGCATTCCTGGGACAGCCGCCTGTCTCCCATCTCATCTTGTAGCACAGCCCTGTTCCCACCCCCTGAAAAGAAAAAACCCTCTCCCCTTCTCCCTGTTTTTCCCCAAGGCGGAGCTCACAAATAATCATGTCAGGCAGCGTAACCATTCTAAATGGAATGCCCATGCTCGACTGTACTGGGGAAAATTTATTTAGTAAGGGGTTTTTATTGTGTAATATGTATGTGACATCTGGTAATGGGAACTGCATTATATTTATTGTTTTATCTCTAAGAAAATATTGAAATAAAAGGAAAATGATCAGGGCCTATTATTCTCCAATGAAAAGACATTTCAGGGTTCCGCTAGGAAGAGGAAATGGAGGAAGTGCAGGGAGCCCCTGTGCCTATCCAGAGAGAGTTTCACAGAAGGTACAGAGCAGAGGAGTGTGAGGGCTCCCGGAGGAACCCAGTGTTAAAAGAGTCTCACTGGTTCCCATGAAATTCTTCAGAGAGGTAAACCCAGAATCCAGGATGCTGTTAGATTCAATGAGATAAAACCACTTGCCATTTTTCTTTGCATTCGTTATAGTGTTAGCATCTACTCTGAGTGGCCAGATTATGATGATCTCTGAATGCATAATTATATGGCCACTCAGTGTAGACTGACCAAAGTTGGAATTTTATTTTTATTTATTTTCAGAGTTGGGATTTTAAAATAAGGTTTTTCCATGTAGAAGAACTGCATTGTGGGTAGTTAAAAAGAAGCAGAGGACTAACTAGCCAGAGGCTGGGGGCCACTATCTCCTGGTCCCTTGACATATCAAGATTTGCAAGCTTTCCCTTATACATAAGTACAGAGTGGCCAGATGATTATGCGTTGAGAGATTATAGTAATCTGGCCTCTCTGTGTGTATTAAATAATGGTTTAAACCCTCTTGCATTTTGAGGGTTTGGCCAAGCACCGTATCTCTTGGTTAGTGGAGAGGCGTCTGGAAGGTGGAGGGTCTCCCTGGTGGCTGGGATGCAAACCCACCGGGGCTTTCTCACCATCCCTGTGTTTCCTCTAGTTTCAGCACTTCCAGGAGAGACTGCCATCCACCTTTTTCTCCCGATTCAGAAGCGCTGACAAGGGCATAGTGACTAAAACCAAATACAACCTCACAAAGTGCTTCACACTGCGCCCAGGGACCTATGTGGCGGTCGCATCCGCGCACAGAGAAGCAGTTGAGTTCTTGCTTCGAATCTTCCTGAAAATGCCAGACCCTGACCGGTAAGAACCTCTGGAGTTCCAACTGCAAATTCTACCTAATGCCATTAAAACACATTGTGGAGGGTCTTCAGTGCCATGACAATGGTCCAGGCGGGTCAGCAAGTGTGCACCCTGCTGGGCAGCTCACCCCCTCCTGAACCCAAGGCAGACATCCCCGCAATCATGGCAGTCTTCACAGTGGAGCATGGACGGCTCCTTCTTAGTCCAGGATGCCAGGCAGCCACTGGGCTACCAGTCGGAGTCGCAACTTGAGGTGAAGCTTATTTGCCATCGTATCTGTCCATGCGTATCTTGCTAAAGGAACCTCTTCCTACATGGTTAAGGACCAGGTGACCCAAAAGACTGGACAAATGGTCATGATGGTCATTGTCTACCAACTGTCAGAGCCGCCCACTTCACAGCCTGCTGTGCCTAGGACACTCCACTCAGTCCTTGGTGGCAATGCCCCCTGGGTGCCCTTCATGGACAATGCCTTTTTGAACAGTGAGCAGGCATCCTAGTCACACTGTCCCCCTGATTTTCTAGGAACCTGGGCAGCGGTTTCAACCTCAGAGCAATGCAGGTAGGTGTGCAGGAAGGTGGCTGGTAGGTCTCATTGGCCACATTCCATCTCCAAAAGCTTCTGTCTTCTTCCTTCTTGCCTCACCACTGATCAATGAAAACAGACATTATAATGGGATGACGATGGCACAAAGGGGCAGGGCAGAAGGGAGAAGGCCAGGCCTCTAAGGCCAGGCTGGACCCAACCATCTTCTTTCCACCAACTTCCATTTTCCCATTCCCCTAGAGCTGTGGTTGGCAAACTGCAGCTCACGAGCCACATGCGACTCTTTGGCTCCTTGAGTATGGTTCTTCCAAAAATACCATGGCCTGGGCGAGAATATTTTGAAGAAGTGGCGTTAGAAGAAGTTTAAGTTTAAAAAATTTGGCTCTCCAAATAAATTCCAATTGTTGTACTGTTGATAATTGGCCAACCACTGCTCTAAAGGTGTCACCTGATTACTGGATGAAACCTCTGTCCCAGATTTATGTGGGAGGGTTCTTGTGCCAGACAGGTGCCTTCCTTTTCCAAAAATTTGATGTGGGCTATTTTCCCTTTGATCCAGGCAAGTCTTCCAGAAAATGGCTCCCATCAAAGCATTTTCTACAAATACGCCCAGCAGGTATAGTACTCAGCATGGGGACAGGGGATGGAGGGACCAGAGGGAAGGAAATCTGTTCCAGGCTTTTATCAGGACACAGAGAGGAAAAGTAACTTCCTGGGTTATTTCGTCAGCCTCCTTCTCTAGCCATCTCCACAACTGACCTGGCTACCAAACTCTGGAGAGAAATGACGTCCCGCCCGGGTGACATCTGGGATGGCATGTAGAGCTTTTTAAATCTGAAAACAAGCAGTTGGCAGCGTCCCTTGAAATCTTACCTTCTCCTGCTCTGCCAGCTGCCACCAACCTTGGCATCATTCCTCCCGGGAGATAGCCAGCTGCAGAAATCACCAACAGAACTCTTCCTGCCAAGCAAGCCACCTATGTACACAGGGGATTTTCTTAATGGTTTTATAAACCGTTATAAAGAACTCCTTGACTTGTCAGGATAAAAACAGCTGCCAAGGGCTCTGCACGATGGGCTTTTTATCATTAATAATCATGTTGGGTGGAAAGGGATACAGATGATCGTGTGCATGGTGCCAGCCCTGGGCCAGGCAGAGGCCAAGGACAGGATGGAGGCCAGTCATTCAGATGGCTGCTGGGGCAGTGATGGCCAGGAGGCAGCCCAAAGGGAAATGATTCAAGAGCCTGGGCTCAGAGGAAAACTCAAGAAGTAAAAAATATGGCTGGCATGTAGGGTACAGGTTGAAAAGATCAGCCCAGTATGGACCTCCTTGAAATTAATATGGGCCCAGGATTTAGGTCATATCTGGGCTGATTCAAAAGGCTCTTGACCTAATAGAGTCTGTGAGGTCCTGAAAGCAGGGATACAATCATATGCATTCCTTGTCCCCAAGACCTATCACTGCCTTTGGCACAGAGAAGGTAGGTGCTCAATCAATTTGCATTGAATTAAGGGAGATTAAGATCCCCTAGAGCAGATGCCCAAGCTCAGGTCACTGCCCTAAGGTGGTCAGCAGGACTAGGTACCTGAGACCAAACTCACCTTCATGGGTGAGTGGTAAATCCTTAACATGGTCTATGCACCTGCGCATCTGAAATAAAAGTGATAAATTGTACGGATTCCCTAATTAGGACTTTTCTAAACAACAACCAAATGTCTCTCAGGAAGGGAGACCTGCAAGAGGAAGATAGGATGCATGCGTCAAAGCTGCTTATCTTCTCCTTGGTTGGAGTTCCTCACCAACATGTCAACTGCTCTGCAAAGCAAGATACCATGTTTCCTTTGAGGAAAAAACTCAGTTGATTGGGGGGGGGGGGGGGGCGCACACCAAAAGGTCTTCCCTGAGGCATGAGAAGTTGGAGGAATGACCTAAGGGCCAATTTCAGACACTGGCAGAATTTCTGGGGGCATCATGAGGGGTCATCCTTCTAGCCAAAGTACAGGCTGCAGGATTGTTCTTCCTTTTAGTTCTGTGTGATGAGGCCAACCCTGGGGACAGCATATCATCTATGGGGTTCTGGTTCTCAGAAGACCCTAAGGAGGCATCTTCTCCCACCTGACCTGGCCCCACTCTGCAAAGCCACCTGCTGGAGGCCTCACACCAACTCCTTCCCCATGTCAAAGCCCCTCAGCTTTGACCAGACGATGTAAGAAATGGCACAGGTAGAGCAGCTCTTCTCTGTAAAATCATCATGGAAGACACTGCCCAAACAGCCATTCAGTGTCCCTAATAGAAAACTGAATTCTGTTAATGCCTCCAGAAGTTCATTCCAGGAAATGTTTCTCTCCCCTTAACCTCAATTGCTTCCCCCTTTCTGCGTCAGTGTCTGGGAAGACTAGCATTAAGTAATGAGTTCAATTAGAGGAGCTTCTCGTAGTTTAGGTTCCCAGCATTTTAATCTCCTCTCACTCCCCACACTTAATCCCACACATGAGCATCCAATAGTTATATTTTCTTAGTCTCTTTCTGGAAGCAGATAGGGAAACATACCTATGGGGCTGAATTGATTCCTTCAGCAATACTTCTGAGGGACTCCCAAGTGCAAAGCATGGTGGGGAGGAAGCAAACACTGCTTTCAATCTAATAATGAGTGAAGAGATAAACGCAAGGTACCCACACAAGGTACCAACCGTCAGGAGTAATCAGCACCACAGGGGTTCGGGGGGGGGGGAGTTATTACCGTGGCCCGAAGCCATCAGGAGAGGCTTCCTGACAAGGGTGAGCTGGGCACTGGATGAGAACTGTGGTTAGCAATCTGAGTGCTTTGCAGAGCTAGGCAGATGTGTGCCTCAGCTCCTGGGCACCAGATAATTCCTCTCTTGTTTGGACCAGGGACTAGGCATTGATGCCGCCCAGCTTCAGAGACTTCTCAACCAGGAATTCCTGAAAGGTAAGGACCTGCCATTCCCAATGTCACCCCCATTGCCCAGCCAGCCCAACATCACCCTCCCTGACCCTTCAGTCCCTCCTGTTCTGCCCCCTCAGGACCTCCAACAGACACCTTCTCTTTGGATGAGTGCCGGAGCATCGTGGCGCTGATGGATGTATCCTTTGCAGTCATCTCCCATCTGCTCTGTGGGCCTCCCAAGGAATCTAATGAGGGTGCTACAGAACCCTTTCTCTCAGTATTTTCTCTGCTACTTGGTTCTGAGAGCTCACCAAGGGACCTGAGTTTCTGTGGATTCTAGTCTTACCTTTTAACTCTCCAAAATACTGGAAACTGTAGTGCCCTAGCTAGTTTGGCTCAGTGGATAGAGTGTCAGCTTGCGGACTCAAGGGTCCCAGGTTCAATTCTAGTCAAGGGCACATGCCAGGGTTGCAGGCTCAGTCCTCGGTAGCGGGTGTGCAGGAGGCAGCTGATCAACGAGTCTCATCATTGATGTTTCTATCTCTCTATCCCTCTCCCTTGTCTCTGAAATCAATACAAATATATTTTTAAAAAATAGCTGCAGCAACAATGACAATAGTTACCATCTATCAAGCAGCTACAGAAGCACTGAAACTAGTGGAGAAATCCTCAGTCTATATAGCAGTTGGACCCCAGTGGCCGATGGGAGATAGGGTCGGCCATCCGGTGACTTGTTCAGTTTCCATAGTCATGTGGCAGAGCAGGGCATCAAACCCAGATCTTGTGCCTCCCATCCTGGCTCCTTTCTCTGATGAGCCATGTGGGCCCATTCCCTGGCAGACAGGAAAGACTAGCTTCCTGTGTGCATAGCCCCCAGCACTGTCCCTTCAGGGTGGGCGATCTCCTGGGAAGAAGACAAACGTTGCTCTTTCACTCCTAACAGGACTTGATTGGGAATTATGAGGTCGTCACTGTCAAACAAGAGGGCTTCTTGATGAAATCATAAATCAGGCCCTGGATCTGCCAGCAGGTGAATCAAAAAGGCTATAGCAGTCCCCAGCGTGGGGCAGGTAGCCCTCACCTCCCCTGCAAAGCAGACGGGTCTTTTCTACCCTCCCTCCTTCTCACACTCCAGGCTCTCCGAGATCCATTCTTTTCTTCTCATCAGCTCTCATGAGACCCATTATATGAAATGGCTAGGGCTGGCTTTAATACCTCCATTCGCATGCACACATTCACCTCTCATGCTATTTCAGGAGTTGCCATGACCCCCTCAAGCTCCTCCCCACTCAACTGGTGAAGGCTATGGTTGGGACTCTCTGGATGCAAGAGATGTTGGCCTCCCCTTTCTCGGGCTTTTTTTTCCTTCTAATTCTCCATCTCCCCTTGGTACATCAATCCAAGCCAGGTCCCTTCCAGACGCAGCAGGAGCCAGCTGGCATGAGGCCCAGTCCCATCCGTGTCACTAGTGGAAGGATGGAGGGCTTGTTGGTGGGACCTGCGGCCCCTCCGCTCAGTTACATTGGGCTGGTTAACTCTTAACTCCCGGCAGCTGAAAGTGAACGGGCAGCTCGACCAGGAGGAGTTCTCTCGGCTGTGGAGCCGAATAGTCTGCTGCCAGGTACCGGCATGTTTGCTTTGAACGAACACTCTTGCTCCATTCTGTTTAGCAGATATTAATGGGCACTTTCTCCTGCACCCGGGTTGAGGGGTGCAAAGAAAAGGAGGCTCACCAGGCCTCAAGGAGAACTCCCATTGTGTTTGGGGAGACGTACAGGCACCACCAAAGGCAGTGCCCGACAGAGTGGCAGGGTGAGGAATGCTCTTGGAGGGTGGAGGAGAAAGGGGTCACCATGGAGTGTAGCTAAACCACCAGCTAGCCTTGCCCCACATCCATCACCCTGCTCACGGCCACACCCCCAGGCTGCCAGTTCACCTCCTCCCCTGCACCCCCACGTGCTGGAAGGTACATCAAAACCAAAAAGTGTGTGGCCACCCCAGTGCTCAGGACAAACTCTAACCTCCTCGGTGCTGTGCACGAGACCCTCTGAGTTACGGCCTTCCTTTAGGATCCAGGAGAGGCCCTTCCACTCCCCACGTACCCCAACTAGGAGACTGCTTGCTCTTCCTCCCTACACTCCCAGCCTGGCCAGCACCCACCCAACCTGGGAGACCAGTTCATACACACCATCCCTGAGGGGCCTCCCCGGGGGCTATTGCCCACCCCCAAGGCCCTATGTGTTCTCCCCTCAGCTCCTAACACTTGAACTCGCAGCAGGAAACTATGGCTGTCCCAGGTTATCACCTGATCCCTGACTTGGGTCATTTGGGGGTTCCCAGGCACTACAGTGGCTGATCTGCCCCCCATTAGATTGTGGGGTCCTCCAGGGCTGGGGCTCCCTCATAGCCATCTTCCTTCCCCACTGCCTTCCTTAGTGTCTAGCACACAGTAGGTGCTCAAAGTGCTAAACAAATGACCAAACTATGAATTACTGAGTAAGTGAGGGGATGAATACCTCTCTGAGAACACTCTACACTTGGTGGATATACTCACCAACAAAGCCAGGTAAGGCCAGAAAGGGTGTGTAAGCTGCTATCTCACACTGACTGTCTCTTGACATCGGCCTCAGACACACCAGTGGGAGTCCCACGGCCTGCATGCTTAGCCCAAAGCAGTCTCTCCCCTGCCTGGGCATGTTTCCTCACCTCCGGAGTACAAGGACAATCAGGGTTAGTGTACAAATCAGGGAGAGGCAGGGCTGTGCTGGGAGAGGGAGAGCCCCCTGTAAAGGTTGAGGCGTTGGGGTTGCTATGGCCTGGGACTGTGCTTAGTTTTGGACACAGGGAGCCCCAGCCCTGGAGGACCCCACAATCTAATGGGTAGGGGGGGGGGCATATCAGCACTGCAGTGCCTGTGAGAACCCTCACTGTGCACAGAGCACTCTCCGGGCACTTTATAGGTGTCTGTGCAGTTACTCCCTTGGGCCTGTGCTGCAGATGGAGAGGCAGCCTGGGAAGATCCAATAACCTGCCCAAGGCACACACGGGGCTGTAAACCAGTCTGTGCTCTTCACCACCCTGTGCAGACTCCTTCCCGAGCTCTCCAGCTGCCCTGAAGGCAGCGAGCTGCCTGAGTGTCAGGAGCCCAGTGCAGGGTGAGGGAGAGGAGAGAGCAGGATGGGAGAGGGGGTTGGGGAAGAAGAGAAGCCCCCACCCCTGCAGCAGGAGATCAGAGTGGTGCCCTGGCTTCCTCTGAGCTGAGCTTCCAGGGAGGGAAAGGGGATTTGCTTGCGGGACCTCCCTCTGCACCATAGGCACTGGGACTTACCCAGGCTTCTGGCTTCTTTTCGGTGTCAGAGCGTTTTCCAGAACGCCCAGCGGAATGCAGGCGTTTTCCTGAGCTCGGATTTATGGGGGGCCATAAAGGATACAGGTAAAACAGGGGACCTTTTGATGATGGAGGGTGGCAGCGTGTGGGGAGTGGGGCGGGGGGGAACACCCCTCATGGGCTGCAGCAAGGCTGGTGCAGCGGAGCTGGCAGTACTGTGGCTTCTCCTCCCCTGGTTTACACCGGCCTCTGGGGCCTCCAGCTCTGGGCTCAGACTCTGCTTCCTCTGCCTGAGTTCTCACGAGCCAGTCAGTGTTGCCGGCCGCCTTCTCCCAGCCCAGCTCTAACTGTGGGAGAGTAAGCCACATGATTGAAACCCTACCACCAAGCCACCCTCGGGGACTCTTCATCTTGGCGTCGGGGTTAAACACCCACGGGGAGGCTTCTGCGCTCCACAGAGGGTTTGGCGCTAAATGAAATCAATGGCATCTCTGCTTTAAGGAGGCAGGGCTTCCAGTCCTGGGCTAACGATGCAGTCTGGCAGGAGAGCCTCGTAATTGGGCACGAACTTGTACTCATGCCAGCACATTTGATGGTCTCCATGACTCTGAAACTGGGAAGGGCAGAAATTGCCGTTTCCAAGGTGCCATGGGAATGGCTCGCACAAAGATTAAGTCAGGAAACCTGTGGCCCAGACTTCCTTGCAGGGATCTCCGTCAGCAGCGAGCTGCTGGATCTCATGGCCCTCAGGTACAGCGACAGCGCCGGCAGGGTCAGCTTCCCTAGCCTGGTCTGCTTCCTGATGCGGCTGGAAGCCATGGCAAGTAAGTGTCCCCTGGGGACCTGCTGGAGACCTTCACAGAGACGGGAAGCACAGGAGAGGACCAGGGGTGCACTCCTGCCCCAGCCTGGGCAGTGGGTGGCCTGGAGCTCTTGCCCCAAGAGAGAGCCAACGCTAGCCTGCGTAGTGGTGTCATCGGCTTGTGTCCCCCTCCTCCCTTCTGCACCATCTTCTCCCCAAGAGATTCCCTTATCCCGGGGCTCTCATCTCCTCATCACCCTATTTACTCCATGCTTCTTCTACGGTCAAACTGAATACTGGGTCCCTCTCCAGATTGTGTTTATAGTTTAAGCCTGCTCTGTAGTCATGCGGCGGATGACTTGGTCTCTGCAGGAGGAATTGCACACGCCAGCAAATAGCTGGGGGCAGGAGGTCTTTCCCCAGGACTCAGAAACCCAGCTATGTAGGCCGGAGGTTTGACACTTTTTAGCAGCATACCCCTTTGCTGTAAATGAAATCTTATGTGAAAGCCCAAGCTACAAAATAGCTCACAATGGCCCTGCTGAGGTTGAGGTAGCAGTGGCATCTGGCCTCGGCTCTAATCCTTACACCGCCCTGCCTCATGGCATCACTGTAAACCCTACTCCTCTGAGCTATTCAACTCATGTTAAGATGGTGAGAACAGCCCTAGCCGATTTGGCTCAGTGGTTAGAGTGTAGGCCCACGGACTGAAGGGTCCCGAGTTTGATTTCAGTCAAGGAAAGAACCTCGGTTACGGGCTCAATCTCCGGCCCCAGTTGGCGTGCGTGCAGGAGGCAACCAATTGATGTGTCTCTCTCACATTCCTGGTTCTCCCTCTCTGTCTCTACCCCTGCCTTCCACTCCCTCTAAACGTCCTCCAGTGAGGATCATCCAAAAAAATAAAAAGATGGTGAGAACAGAGCCCTGGGTGGGTAAACAAAAAGCCTGAGGCATAAACCTGTTCCAGAGAGTTGTCAGTTGGATAAGGGAGGTTCCCCAAGTGATGCCCCTGACATAATTCCAGAGGAAGGCCCACACTGCCCCACGGCCAAGTGCGGAGACGCATAGTGCAGGGAGACAGAGAGGGGGAGAGGCATTGGGCTGGAGCAGCCAGAACAGTTTTGAAGACTTGAGCCCGAGCTGTCCCTGGAAAGAGAAGAGAAGGGGAGGCGAAGCATCCCTGTGGAGAGGGAGAGAGTGTCTCTGGCTTCACCCAGAATCGCCGCATTTGCTTTTGTACTGGCCTGACCTGATTCCTCTCCTCTCTACCCTAGAGACGTTCCACAAGCTCTCCGACGATGGCAAAGGACTCTACCTGACTGAAGTGGAGGTGAGCCACCTTGCCCTCCCAGAGACAGGACCAGCCCAGCCCTCCTCTCCTCCCCCGATGCCAGGGGCATTTTTCTCCCTGAGGATATCGAACAGGCTGTCAGAGGCCAGCCAAGCTGCCGGCCCCCCTGCCTCCAATTACCGCCTTTATATATTGCTGGCTGCCAAGGCTGCTTTAGGAGCTTGGCAGACGGATTTTATTTTTTTCCGATAGCTTAATAAAGCAGAAGATTATGTGGAAGTCATAAATCCAAGCGGGAACTGAAGCACACCTGCTGGGCTCACTGTACATTAAACTTCCTCCCATTGAGTTTTAGAAAGAGCCTCCTGGCCCGGCCAGCTGGTCGACCTCATCTACCCTCCCACTGCCTGGCAGTGCAGGGAGTAGCAGGAAATATGCTGTGACAGGGGCCAGACCTCCTGCGTGGGCTGGAATTAGCCAGAAAGGGCTGGTGAGACTAGACTGAGATTTTTCAAGGGCGGAGGGTACCATTTGCCCTGATCTATGTTAAGCTCCTGAGTGTAAAGACTGGTTGTAATGAGAATGTTTATTTCCTAGTGGATGAACTTGGTCATGTACAACTGAAGCAAGGAGTAGAGCAGACCCCAGAGTCCAGGTAAGACATGGCAGTGTTAGAATCATTTCTTCTTGGGGCCCATTTCCCCTTCTCCTGCACACAAGACCTTCTCCCTGGAAGCAGCCTCTCAGAGGTGAAGGAGCCTTTATTTGTGTGAGCCAATAGGGACCTGAGTTTTCAAGTGTTGCAGATTTCATCCAAGTCATGGAGACCAGTGGGCATTCATGAAAGAGAATGGCCCAGAAGTCATGAGTGAGGGATTTAGAATCTGTTTTTAAAATCAACTTACTTTTTATTGAGATATGATTGATAGTTAACATTGTGTTAGTGTAGGTTTTTAACAATGATTTAATAGATGTACATATTGTGAAATGATCACCGTAATAAGTTTAGTTAACAACTGTCACCACTCATAGTTACAAATATTTTTGTTATGATGAGAACTTTTATGATTTACTCTCTTAGCAACTTTCAAATATATTAAATGTTGTTAACTATAGTCACCACACTGTACATCCCCGGGACTTACTTATCTTAGAACTGGAAATTTATATCTTTTGACCACATTCACTCATTTTGCCCACCCCAACTCCCACCTCTGAAAACAACCAAGCTGTTCTCTGTATCTATGAGTTTGGTTTTCTTTTGTGTTTGGGTGGGTTTTTGGGGTTTTTTTTAGATTTATAAGTGAAATCATATGGTATTTTTGTCTTTCTCTGTCTGACTTATTTTATTTAGCATAATGCTCTCAGTGTCCATCTCTGTTGTTGAAAATGGCAGGACTGCCTTCTTTCTTATGGCTTAGTAATATTCCATTGTATATATACACCACATTTTCTTTATCCATTCATCAGTTGATGGACACTTGAATTGTTCCCATATCTTGGCAATTGTAAATAATGCTTCAGTGAACATGGGGTACAGATATCTTTTTAAATGATTGTTTTTGTTTCCTTCAGATAAATATCCAAAAGTAGAATTGCTGGATCATATGGTAATTCTAGCTTTAATTTTGTGGGGAACCTCCATACTGTTTTCCATAGTGGCTGCAATCACTCATCAATTTACATTTCCACCAACAATGCACAAGAATTTCCTTTTCCCCACATTCTCTGCAACACTTAACTCTTGTCTTTTTTATAATAGCAATTCCAATAGGCAGGTGTGAGTTGATATCTTATTGTGGTTTTAATTGGCATTTTCTTGATGCTTAGTCATGTTGAGCAACTTTTTGTGTACCCATTGGCCAATTGTATGTTTTCTTTGGGAAAATATCTATTCAGCTTTTCTGTCCATTTTTAAATCAATTGCTTGTTTTTTCTACTGAGTTTTATGAGTTCTTTATATATTTTTTATATTAACTCCTTATCAGATATATGACTTGCAAATATTTTCTCCTATTCAGCAGGTTTGCCTTTTAGTTTTTTGCTGATTTCTTTTGCCTGCACAGAGGCTTTTTTGGTTTGATATAGTCTCTCTTATTTATTTTTTCCTTTTGTTACTTTTGCCTTTGGTGTCCAATCAAACAACTCATTGTCAAGACCAATGTCAAGAGGATTATTCCCTATATTTTCTTCTAGGAGTTTTATAGTTTAAGGTCTTATGTTCAAGTCTTTAATCTATTTTGAGTTGATTTTTGTGTGTGGTATAAAATAGGGGTCTGGTTTGATTTTAGAATTCTTAGCTGACGTTCCGATGAGGAAAGGCAATCACTCGTCACAGCAAACATTAATGTGAGGAGCCACAGAATGATCAGACCTCGGGGAAGTGAAAGTTGGGTCCAGCTCCAGACCGACCACTGCTTCACTCTGTAGCTTTGGATGCATCACAGGCATCTGAAAGCAGCTGCATCTATTTCTCTAGCTTGAGTGCACTGAAGAATTAACACCCATGTAACATTGTCTTCTACATTTTTACTTTTCAGAGAACTGACCTACAGATACACAGTCTACATCCCACCCTACTATAGCAGAAGCCCCTGCAGAGCCTGATAGAATACAGCAGGCCCTCAGGTTGCCTCGGAGATCCGTTCCTACAGCGCGACGTAATGCGATTTTCGTAGGAACATAACCTACATAAGCACCTACGTCACTCACCTGGAGCACATGCACAGCAGTAATGAAATGAAACAGTGAAAAAAAAAAATTAAAGAAAGATAACAATTCCAGCCCTAACGGGTTTGACTCAGTGAAAGATCCCAGGTTCAGTTCTGGTCAAGGGCATGTACCTTGGTTGCAGGCACATCCCCCGTGGGAGGTGTGCAGGAGGAAGCTGATCGATGTTTCTCTCTCATCAATGTTTCTAACTCTATCCCTCTCCCTTCCTCTCTGTAAAAAAAAAAAAAGATAACAATTCCTGACCTTTACTTGTGGTAAATAAATATTAAAGCACATACCTATGTACATACATCGAAATGAAGGAACTTTTTTTAATAAATAAATGGGAGATGGTGACATAACCACAAAATAACATACGTCAAGTCTGATGTAACCCAAGGACTGTCTATTCCGGAACCAGGGAGCTCAATATTTTGTGTTTCTATTGTTGGACTCTTTTGGGTGGTAGGTTTTCTTTAACTAGAGGTGACTTCCCTGGAATTTTCTATCCATTCTTCAAGCTCTACTCTCTGGACCACTAAAATAGACTTGGACATGCCAGACCTTCAAATACTTCGCTGCCTAACCCAAAGCCTCTCTTCTTTCGTTGTCTCTGATGGTCTTATCTGGGATCTTTTGGTGACCATTCTCTATATGCCAATGTTCCTTTGGCACGTAGTCTCCTAAGCAGCAGACCTGTGATCAGCACATTCTGGGGTCCTATTTGTAAACAGCACTTATTTAATCTCCCAATCATGTACCTTGAAATTAAGACACTGACATGGTCTCTCTAAAGAAAAAATATTTTAGCATAAACATTTCCTGATGAATACCTGGTGCCTCCTAATGAACACAAGCCAACAAACATTGCAGAGATTCAAGTTAATTAGACTCAACTATATTTTTCTGAATTCCCCTCTCAATCCTTTTTAAAAATAGAACACTTGATCATTTCCAATTTGCATAACTTCCATATCAGGAATGACTCTTCACAATTGTATCTTTAAGCTAATTTTGCATGGAGGACCTAAAGCTTGAACTTTTGAAATAACTGAACTCTCATTATCCTTTCTCCATAAAAGGTCTCAATTCCCTCTGTCAGAAGGAAGTGTGACATAAGTTGCATGGTTATGTGTGTTTCAGTCTCTTTCAGTAATGCCTACCATTAGTCAAGTTGAGGAAGTTCCCTTCTATTGATAGTCCGCTAGAGGCGAATCCAGACTCCCAACTCTCGAAAAGCGCTTCGTTGGTCTGAAGGATGGAGAGACGGGTTTACTATAAGGTGACGAGACGTCCCGCTTTTGGCGGGACAGTCCCGATTTTTAAACAATTTGTCTCGAGTCCCGTGGCGTTTTAAAAAAAGTCCCGATAAACGCCGTGGAAGGCGGGACACATTGTTGAAAATTGGGACTGTCCCGCCAAAAGCGGGATGTCTGGTCACCTTAGTTTACTAGGATAGAAGCGAGTCCACTCCAGTGACAACGTTGCTGGGTTGTGGGTAATTTGGCAGGGTCGAGGCTACTGCTGCCACATTTTACCTTCCTGCAGAGTAGCAGAAGCTTTCCCACTACGCAGAAATCCCACCTTATTTCTGCGTAGTGGGAACTGTTACAGCTACTAATGTTGTTAGAATACGACGCCGTACTGCAACATTGACAGAAGATGCACATGAATGTACATGACATTAGCTGGGCAAACTATCAGCAGGTGTGACTTGCAGTGTAGTAAACCTCTAGATGGAAACTAATTAAAATCAACATCATCTCAAATGTCCAAAGACCATATATAGATGCTCTGAGTATTTTCTGAGTCATTTTTTTTTTAAAGTATGAACTTGATAGCTCTGAAAATTTTTCACATAAACATTGCTCACGCAAGGCCCTGGAGGTGCACGCTTTGTTGAAAAGAAACAGACCTGACGGGAGGGGAGGAAGAGGCGTTGTCAGGAGGCACAGTTCTCCCTCCTCACTTACCAAGGCAGAGGCAGCAGATGGCCGAAGGAGGGAGACAGAGTGGGCTCACAGTGGTGGACACCACAGCTTGCCCGGAGAGTCCAAGGGCAGATTGAAGCTTGTTGACACAGCTTGTGGGGAGTGACCTTGAGGAAAGTAGACTATTTAGGGCCTTCAGCGCCCCAGGCTCTGGGCAGAAGCTCATCGGACAAGACCTTCCCATGTTCCAGTGGCTGCTTCATCACATAGAGGACCAGATGAGGGAGGAGAGGGAACGCTCTGGATTGAATGCTGGCCAACGGCGAACATCTCTTTCCTAACCCGGGCGTGATGAAAATCCTGGAAGAAAGCAACTTTGACTCTCTAGCATCAAAGTAAAGGAATGCTGGACAGAGTTAAAAGGTGCCCTGGACTTAGGAAAGCAGAGTTTAAAGGGGTAAGAAGATCACCAGTTAGACAGTAGCCATTCTGAAAGAATATTGACCATGATGTATTAGAGATTATAACAAGATATTGTTAACTGTCCACTCCACAGTAATCCAAATGGGGAAGAAGATAGAGGAACAGCTGAAATAGCAGGAAGACTTGGGTTTAAGACGATATTTACCGAAGCTGGGATAAGGACTAAAGAGAGAATTCCTTCCAGTCATTTTGGAAGTGGTTACTGAAGGATTTCTCTATGCCAGGCACTTTGCTGCATGCTAACACGATAGCCACAGAGAAGGTATGCCCAGCCTTACAGTGTGGCAGGGAACACAGACATCAGCAGGTAATTAAAAGTGCGTTGAGGTGTGAAAACTCCCAACCTCCTTTGGCATACCAGCACCTGTGGGTGAGTAGGCACCTTTCAAACCCATGGTGTCCAGCTTCCGTAGCTGGATTTTAAAGAGAAATGTATCCACCTCAGACAATGACACAGACCCTCCAAGGGCATGAACCAAGAAGGAGCAAGTTGGAATC